CAGATTCACACATAAAATAACAATTATGTCAGACATGGAAAAATTCAAAATTTTGCAATCAGAAAAGCTAATACTTTGAAAATCACAAGTATGTTAAATTATCTTCATATGAAAATATTCTCAATATTTAAAGCACATTTGGCAGAAGACTGACGGAAGAAAAAAAAAATGTATTTATTGAAAATTGACATACATATGAGGTCTGTCAAAACTTTACTGACATGTCAGGACATTTCATTTGGAGAAGGCTGGGACTCTAATCACATTCACAGTTGTCTCTGTGGGACTGCACACACTTCTTCCAATGGACATACCATTGATTTCTGTTTTTAAGAAAGCCACTAAGAACATGCTTTCCAGATATTTGCTTCTAATGACTTAATTAAACTTGGACTCTTTCAGCTTGGAGAACAGTTAACAAGTCACAGGAGCCATGTCTTCAAAGTATGGACAAACAAGAGGGACCAGATACCGTTTGAAGCAAATATGTAATTGGATGTATTAGCAAAGAGAATATGGCTGCTGCACTATGAAAACATGCACATTTTCTCTGCATCTGCTACAGATTTGTTTGGGGGTCAAAACCAAAATTTCTCTGGTTCATCAGGTTCTAAACTCTTCCAAAACCTAATCTTGCAATTTCTGGCTGTTAATCAAAGTAAAAGGAATCCATTTTGAGTTACGACAATATACTTTTCAAAATCCAACAGCTAAGTTGTACTCCATTCCTAAAGAAACCTCTCTGAAAGGCATCTAACAATTGCAGGTCTGCTGGGAGGAGCATACAGTACAAAGAAGACTACCTTGAAGGGGATTCAAGTTTGGAGGACCAGGCTGGATACTTTTTGAACAGACTGCATATGTAGTGTGATCGTGCAGATTAATGTTGTAAAATAACAGTGAGCTTTATAATGAAACATTAATGGATGTGGCATATATAACTCATAATCAAATTGTTTTGATTGTTATTTAACAATGATGACACAATTTCTTGACTCATACTGTATCCAAAAAATATTCCCACATTTTGCAAACAAAAAGAGCAAGGGGTAAATTTGAAAAGCCGAGTAAATCATGCGGCTATCTTGAACTTATGTGGGTTGAATCTGTTAAGAGATGTACAGTATAACTAGACAAATCAATGTGATGTGTCCTATTTCGGTCGAAAGAATTCCTGTTGTGCTTCATTATAAGTTGATGTCACTCTGTTGTAGTAATGCAAGTGATGAGATGCAATGCAGTATACCAGGCGATAAACTGGACTGTTTGTGTCTGCATTATTTAAATCATTTTTTATGTGTGCTGGCAACATTTTGTATGCCTAAGGCAAAATGGATAAAATTTTAACACAGAAACAGAACACTGCAGTTAAAATTTCACTACTATAATGTTCATAGCATTATAACATGGAATGTTTAGTAAATACGAAATACACATTTCCTGATAGCATCCCATATTGAGAAAAAATAAATTCTTTTTTGTTTGATTGCTAGCTCCTTAACACATGGAGAAAAAACACAACCAGTATAAGATTAGAATCAGAGGTGAACACGATGAGGTGGATGGTGTTGTAGAGTGGCAATGGACAGGAAAGCCTCACACACTGTTTGAAAGCCTCACACACTGTTTGAAAGCCTCACACACTGTTTGAAAGCCTCACACACTGTTTGAAAGCCTATTCTCCATCAGAGGCTAGAGAGAAAAAAACATGATTTTATTCAGTAGGGGAAAGTCCCCATGTGGATTCTGGGGCCCACATATTTATTTTAAAACAGATAGAATAAAGACGTAGCATAAGTTCATGTCTTTGGTTGGCAGCATAAAACTACACAATGAAATAGTATAATAAAATATGGTAAGCGGCAACAATTAAATCTGATTGTGTCTGTTAAAGATTTCCCGCAATGAATCAACATGGGTTGTAAAAATCTGAGTGTGTCTATTAAAGATTTCCCGCCTAAACTCAACATGGGATGTAAAAAATGTGAAGAAAGATACAATTACTAAATTAATAGAAATTACAGTTAAACATTATAAAATGAAATAAAATTTACAATCACAGTCAATGAGTGAAGATCTAATGCCCCAGTCCCCTGTGTGCCCCCCCCCCCCCTCAAGCATGTCATAAAAGGCACCTAATTGGAGGTGTTTTCTCCGAAGTCATTGTGCTTCTGACTGAGAGGCAAGACAACAACAGCTTGCATACAAATAAGCTAAATCCATAAAATGGATGTGCACACGAAACTTAACTTCTGGAAATAAACCAAAGTTCAGAAGTGAACAAACAACCAAAACTTTCTGCCAGAGTTTACAGCTGGTGAACATGAGGAAGAAGAAAAAGAAGATGTCACAGAAGGAAGACAGAAATAACAAACTATTTTTGTGTGTCTGGTGAATTTGGCATATTCTACTGCATGTAAACATTCAGTAAACAAAATAACGAGAAGCTGAAACACAAGCATGGACTCTTAGATTTAAATATGTAATATTTGGGTCACCAAGTAAGTCTTGAGCTGCTAACCATGTTCTTCACAGAGAAGGCAAAGCTTAGTGATATAAAGCAGGAGTCAATTGTTAATGACATTCTGTCCTTCATGCATAGGACTGCAGGTTACAGGGTATCTGGAATGTGTCTTGTTGGTCTGCCATGCAGAATGATGATATTTTTAAAAATCTCAAACTGTTATGGTAAACCTATAGGTAGTATCCTGAAGGGGATAAACTGAGTGACTCATCGATGATAATATTCAAGTGTTAGTGACTAATTTGTGTATTTCCCTCACTTTATTTTACTTTTTTTTAGCACACACATGGCGAGATACAGTTAAAGATCATGGCCAATAAACTGTGCAGGCTGCTTATTTATCTCTATTGTCTACATCTACTGTCTGCAGAATGCGTGGAGGAAACCACAATTGGTTCAACGGGCAAGACGGAGACACTAGCAAAGCGCTATGGAGTGCAAAGAACATGGCGAGGCAGGTCATCCACTGCACCTAGACCTATCTCCAGTCATTCTGACTCTGTCTTGCCACTGGACCCAGATATGACTTAGGTGAGAGATTGAGGTAGATGACACTGCACAACTCTTCCTCACTTTAATTTAAAGTCACAGCGCAAGTCACTCTTTCATCACCACTGTCTACATACATATTATAAGGTATGAGCAACAAGGAACAGCAGGAAAAGATGTAAAGGTTGATGACATCAAAAGTGAGCTGTAATTCTGGCATGGGACTGTTAGTGTTGGCACAAAATGCCAGCTGTCTTTCGCATTTTTACTTTGTGTGCTCAATCCTCAAGATTTTTAGGGGACTAACAAGTTTTTCACTAGTTTTCAAATCAGACAGTAAAGGAAATTTTGTGTGATTTCCACTGGTACAGGAACGGAGCAGTTAAGGAGTGACCTGACTGCAGTGATGTTGTAACCTTAACTAACGAGTAACTAAAGACTAAACACCAATGAAGTTTATAGCCTGCTCTTGATGACAGAAAGATGAAGGGGGAGTTGAGATGAGACAAGGAGCAGGAAATTTGATAGTTCTTTTAAATATTTAAATTATTGAAACCCTTTCACCTGTGCATAACAAATTAGAAGAATAAAGTACACACGCACACATTTTACTAAGCATAAATTAACACAAAAGCATTTTAAAAACAAAACAAGGTAGAATTTAAGCTTCAAGATATACAACATGTAGACTAACTAAAGTTAAAGGTGACAAGCAAAATGAAAGTCATCAAAACTCTGGAAGCAAGAACGCAGATACCAGAGCATCAGAGTTTGTGTTTCTTCTTTCATCTTTTCATTCTCTCTGCCGGTGTTTTTCAGATGAGCAAGCAATAGACCGCTATGAAGGCTGTGGAACAACACACATCCTCCATTGATTCATTCAGCTTGGTTTCCACTATAATTCAGCTGGCCAGACCTGGAACTTTTCTACTAAAGTATGCACTGAACAAGTAGGTTATCACAGTTTCAACTTCACAGCAAATGGGTCACCCCACTTTACTCCATTTTGGTTCCAACAGAATGTACAACACTGTCCCTTGTGAAAGAAAATTAACACAGACGGCAGTCTTAGTAAATTCCAACAGCATTAACCCACATTAAATACTGAATAGTTTCACAAGATCATGAATTTAAACTGTCCAGAAGCCTTGGTCAGTAAAAGACTCTAGAATTTTTACAGCAGAATATTTATATCAGTTGGAGTATGTTACATCATCATATGCTCCTACACACATGTAAAGTTACAGCATCAGTATTGCTCACCCATCTGACAGTCTTCACAAAGAGTAAGAATATTAATTCATTGGTGGGTTTTGTGTAAACACACACGAGGGGGCTTTAAATGAAAACCTTACAAGCATGACAGAAAATACAACAACCATGCTTTTGTTTTGTAAACAGTCAGTGTTGTTGTTAAGGATGTCAAGATTGTTAAGCATGTGACTCACCATGCAGATAAACATGGTGACATCATAATGACAGTTTAAAGATGGCTGCCTCACTTCTGACATGCATGATGCATTATGTTATCTTTGTTTGTGTGTGTATAACAGTGAAAGGGTGAAACTTATAGAAAGTCATTGACGAATGAAGGTCAAGTGTGGTGACGCATACCTGTCGATCCAGCAAGTATATGAGTGGAGCAGAAAATTTCCAACGGTGTAACTTCTGTGATAGACTGTTTAGGACCAGGTCAGGAATACTCAGGAGTGTCCCCAGAGTTCACTGCAGCCATTAAAGGCACGGTTATTATAATTTCTATCACATTTTTAAGCTTCACATTTGCAGCCTCCTTTGGTATTTATGTGTGTAAAAATATATATGAGAAAGACGGAGAAGGAAAGAATGACAGAGAGATTAAACAATTTACTAGCTACCCATCACATAACACTGACACGGATCTGACATCAAACACATTTTTAAGTAAGCATGTACCATTTAGTTAGCATTAAAGGCAGTAGCTGCATATTTGAACACAGTAGTATTATCACAGTTCATCCTTTTTCTCTGTAGTCACATCATCTTTCTTCTCTGTGGTCACATCATCTTTCACTGTAGGTTCTAAATCCACATTTTCTGTGCTCCCAACATCCCCTTTCAACTTCTTTTTATCTGCAGGAAAACAATGAGTAGTACAAATGTTGTTCTGATAAATGGTTTATGTGAATACAATATGATGGTAAATGAGTTGAGATCTATAACATCTTACCTTATATCTGCCATTATTATAAGGACAATGACTAGAAATAGTCAAAAAGTAGTTAAGGGACTCTTCTCCACTTCTCCAGGCATACTGGCAGGCACAAAGGGCCAAACCTATATTTTATAGATCTATCGGCACTCAGCAGGTGATGTGGGCAACACCATGTCACGCCGCCCACCTTTACTTCACAGGACTTTCCTGGCACCTATTTAAGGCTGGGTCGACATGCGAGCCAAGGTCATTTCTGAGAAAAGGACTGGACCTGAACCCACAACCTTTGTACCCACAAACAAGCACCTAGCTGCTACACCACAGTGGCTCCGATGAGAAGAAATTATGATCATCAATTATTCGAAAAAAGTCATCTGAACAGGGGGAAAAACATCTTTACTGCCTGTGTGTACCAATTTTTTTCTTCTGACGTTACATTGTTACCAAGTTATAACCCAATGTCATCGTCTTCTGATTTATCTTACACTCCTGGGTGGCTTAAGTAATAGTTTTGTTCACCTATTTGCAGGATTGAGCAAAGCCATCTGTCCATATTTTCCTACTTCTTCCTCTAACCTTTGATCTGGCTGCATTCTTATTAGCTTGCCAAAGCACTTAGTTCTCTGACTTTCAATGCAACTCTGGCACAGTTTTGTTCCAACCTTCTCATTAATGATAGTATATGTGACCCTCTCTCCCTTCTTGTGTTGCTGATGACCTTTAAAATACGGTGACTTTTGCACGTGGTTATTTTCTGCTGTCATGATCTACTCATTATCCAGGAGTGGACAAACAACTAGAACTTTCCACCTGAGTTTATAGTTGGTAAATGCTAAGAAGAAGAACATAATCATAAAAACACTCAAACATGTGCAAACAAATATTAAGAGAAGTCTGACACAACAGGTCTATGTCATCTTAGGAGTCAAGATAGGAAGGAAACATTAAAACTAGGGCTGTACCGAATATTCGCTTCGTATTCGCTTCGGGGCCGAATAGTGGTCCCAATAACTATTCGGTATTTGGCCGAATAGTTGCGGTCGGGCCGAATACGAATAGTGGTTACCTCACAACCGTTTCTGGACTGGTGGAAAAAAACATCAAGACTTCCCACCTTGGTTTATACTGTGAAGCGTTATCTTTGTGCACCACCTCCAAGCGTACCAAGTGCCCCTTTATTTCCATCTTGCATGTGTTGCGAGTAGTGTTGTCGGCTTGATTTCTTTGAGTGGAGTGTCCTCTTCGTTGACTCTTTGAAGTAACTGGAGTTCATCATCATTTATGGGTGTCGTATCTGTTCTTTCGTCGTCGTCTCGCGGAAACGGCAGCGGCTGAATGTTTTGATCGACGTTCGGTTTCTTGATTGTCTTTGTTGTTTGATCTTCTGACGTTGGCCGCCCGACGTCTGGTTTCTGGTTTCGTGAGCTCGCGGGGGGCTGGGCGACTTGTAAGGACGGCATTGTTTTCTTCGTCTGCGTTATTTTTGTTTTTGATGTTTCGCCTTGCGGGTTTTCATTTTGACTCTCTGTATTTGTCGTATTTTCCTGTTTAGTACAGCTGGAAATACCTTCAGTGAGACAAAAAGCTGGCCTAATGCTGACAACATGGAACGAAGGTTTTTCATGGAGGTGTGTCAGCACACGAACTAATACGTGCTGCAGGAGATCGCAGATTGTGGCGAGGCATAATCGCCCATGCCAGCCGGCAAAGCACATGATGATGATGATGAGTCACTATTCGTATTCGGCCGAATAGTTGGTCCAGCTATTCGTATTCGGCCGAATGGCGAAAATCACTATTCGGTACAGCCCTAATTAAAACCAACTACATATGGGAACAGTCAGTCCTACTGCATCAGAGGATTGAACATGCATGAGAATGGCCAGTGTGCAGTGATGTGGACCTATAATAACAACATAATACGGATATATAGTTTCCTATAAAATCATAGTAAAAAAAACAACATTACTGCATAATGAATTCCTCAAGCTAGTTAAATTAAATTATACATTATACCATACCCACACAAAAAAACTTACTACTTTTCTTTTTTGATTTTTTGGATTTCTTCTGATCTGCAACATCTCCTTTTTCTCCTTCTTGCTCATCTTGCTTTTCTTCCTTCTCTCCCGTCCAAGTTTCAGACAAGCATTCTAAACATGCAAATGCAATTATATCTGGCTAGCACAACTGTCCTCTCTATTTATAAAAAGTAAAAGAAAACAAATTTACTTGGCAAAAAATCAAACAGCGGACATTTGAGTTAGGCTCATGTGTTCAGTGGCCGAATGCCCATGAAGCGTAATATGGTGATTGTAATACTGGCCGTCGGCATCTGTGGTTTAAGTGTTGCAAAAGTGCTTTGTAATGCTGAGGTCTCAGGTTCTGTATCAGCTGTAGGTGATTTGGCAGCAGACCTCCTGTCGTTGGTTTCGGCAGTGGAATCGAGAGCCGACTGTCCAGTAGGCAATGACAAACTACTAAACATAAAAATGCCTAGTAAAATTACGAACAGCCTAAACATGCTGGAGTTGGTTCTGCAACGTACTGTTAAGAATAAGCAAGTAACTTTAATACTCACATTACTTTTCCTTTCCATTCTGAAGACTTGGGGTTTAAATCTGCACTGAGGCAGATTTTTGGCAACACTGATTTTAGCTCCGAGGCGAACCTAGCCTAAAATGGGTTCCAGGTAATGTTGTGGAAAGTAAAGGCAGCCAGTGTAATGTTGGCAACATCACTTATCAAGTGTCGATTGGTCCATGAAAATGTCAGTTCAGCATCAAATGCATGATAGACCCAAGGCGTGATCAGGGCCCTTTACTCTTCAACATCTTCAATATTTTGTCGTCTGATGAGGTCAGGAATATCCCAGCAAAATTTCTTTTCTAAAATCAAAACTTCATCTGCTTCCATTTCCCAACGGAGTATAGTTCCTCACCCAACAACATCATCCTTTGTTGATCTGTTAACAAATTTAGCTAGTTTTCTATTTGACACGGTAACCAATCTATAGCCAACCATCCTTCGTTAACTTTTGCTATAACATGCATGGTAAGCTGGAGTTAAGCAAATGTGGTTTGTTCGCCTGCCAGCTTGGTGGCCACCTATTTGAATCTTCACCTCTCCGGTGGGTTCCAGGGGCATTTGGTGGGAGAGAAGGGGGAGGGGTATGTCTAAAAGCAACCATTTGTTTGGCGAGAGAGGTCAGCCTATACAGTAGGTATGGGCCTAACCCAGGATTTGAGCTAAAAATCTTCAGATAAACTTGTATGCCACAAGTTATGGTGTGTGTGTGTGTATATATAATTTTTTTTTTAAACAGTTAATACATACAATTTGCTGAATAAACCAAACACTCTTACCCTGGTCATTTTTTCTAAGCACTCGATCCCTGCATAAGAACATAGTGAAGTCCTTATCTTGGTGGTTCCAGTACCAATCCTCTATGTCTTCCTCATACTTTTCCACTATCGTGAAACACTGAAAAACAAATCACAATTAGCCGTTAGCTAATAGTAGCAATGAAAGAAAACTGTACATGGGCTGATCATTAAGTTCTGCAATCTTCTTACAGAGGAGTAGAAGGACAACTGCTTGTGAATTTGTCACAAACTTCTTGATCAAGCCAAAAATGATCCCAAATTATGTAACTTCTCTTCGAATAGTTTTATGACTTCATCTTTCAACACTTTAGGAACGTAATGGAAGATTCCCGATTTAATGATACTGAAGAGATTAAAGCCAAAATGAATAGGTAACAGAGAACTTTTATAGACAGTGCTTACCAGATGTGCTTTTTGGATTGGCAAGAATGCTGGAATAAGTGTATACAAATAGAAGGGTACTACTTTAAAGGAGATAAAACACACTTGCCAGCAGGTCTACAACTCACTCAAAAAATAAAACTGAACACAGGAACTTAATAATCAGTCATCGCACATATACTTCAATTGATATATTTTCTTCAGCGTGGCATCCTGATTTTAATGGTGCACCTGCTGGCTGTTTGCCTCTAACTTCAGCACCTAATTTTAATTATTCTGGTAAGCTAGATCGACGTACTGGCATATGGGACTGAACTATCCACCCTGACATGTGTATACTTTTGTAAACAGGACTTTGGCATCAATTTCGCATGATGCAAGTCAAACTTTATGGGTTGCTGAGTGAATTACAAAAGACAGTGAAGTTCATACTAGAGACAACATTGCAGATATAGATAATTTATTTCAAGTGAATGAAAGAAGAATAAGAAGAAGAACTTCAATTGAATGAACATTCCTCCATTCTGTCGGGTATAAAAATATATCCCCAAAAAAATCCAGGTGTGCAGAAATCATGGATTAGGGTTTGTTTGTTTTCCTCAACTTGTAACCCGTCAGAGTTAAGTTTCAAGCTTACACTGCACCAAAAGCTATAGGTGAGGTGATGGCGACCTTTGACTTTTTGTGACCCAGACAGGACTGAACGTTTACCATGGCTGATGTCAAACAGACAAGAAGTTATAAGCTGTGTGTTACCCTGCTGGCAGTTTTGATCTTGGTAAGCTCAGCAAATGTTTTGGCATCACCATCAGAAAACCCTCAATGTTAAGACTGCAATCCTTCTACTGATTCAATATTTATAAATTATAAGTTCTACCTGAGGGAATCCAGGGCCCCATTCTGCCTCCCTAACAAGCAGGTCATACAAAGTGACTAACCAGGAGCTTTTCCTTCAAAGCAGAAGTGCATCTGCCTGAGAGGTGTGGAACCAACAGTCTGCAAACAAAGTCCAGAAACGGACGAACAACCAAAACTTTCCACCTGAGTTTACAGGTGGTGAACGCTAAGAAGAAGAAGTTCAGTATGATTTAAACAGTAAAGCGTCCATGACAGATCTTCAAAAATATGAGGGGGCCGCAGGTCTTATCTAAATGGCAACCACTGATCTAGGTATTTAACTCTTTGTCTACCTCTTCGCCTTTTCCCTATCAAGTCTGCCAGTTGTCACAAAGTTTTCAAGCTTCTCCTCATAACACGTTGAAGAAAATTGTACTGTCTACACATGTCTAACACAAAATTAAAAGAGAAAAAAAACCAACAATATACATGGCAGGTTATATCTTTTGATCACATACCTGTCTTTGCATTTCAGTGACACCAGCAGATGGGGTATCCCACATTTCATATGGAATGCCAAGCTCAACTTTCACTCCCTTGTGTCTGTTAAAAACAAAATGGCACCAAAAATAAGTCAAAGATCTGGTTTTCATGGCATATTGCATATTAGGGATATGGTGCCAACCCCTTTTACTTCCAGTGACAATGCCTGATGACCATTGTAGGCTAGGCAGACTAGAGATACAATGCCAATTTTGAAAAATTCCAGCTCGATGTAGATTTTTCTCCTTCTTCAAGTTCACCCCCAGAAAGTTTTGGTTGTTCACCCACTTCTGGACTCCAGTGTTGTTCCAGAACCAGAGTGTTGAGTGTTGTGTGCACATCTGTTTTAGGGATCTGATTCATTTGTATAGAGTCTGTCGGTTTCTTTCCTCTCAGGCAGATGCACTCCGACTTAAAAGGAAGCTCCCAGTCAGTCGAATCTTATGACATGCTTTTGGGTAGGCAGTGGGTCGATTCTTGTTCTCCCCACAATAGGGATATGTGGATCTGAATCTAAGACCTTCTAGCAGCTAAGCGTCTAATGTTACCAAAATAATAGTAAACGGCCCTGGTAATTTATCACATGACATTTTGAGAATATGGCATCAGGTCCTTATTTTCTGGAGCAAAAAGCACTCAGTGATGTGGTCACTACTATACCTGTCACTTTAGCTTGCAGAGCTAAAATGGAGCTCATTTTATGAGATAAACCAGGAAACTATGTACCAAACACAGGCTTCAGAGCCAAATTCGTCAAATTTTTTAATGGTTTCTCAAGGTATTTCTACTATTTTCAAGATTTTGTAGACACGTTTTCATGCGGGTAACCCACATTTAAATCCTAGGTAAGGTCAGAGATTATACTGTGTGTGTTTGAAGCAAAAATAAAATTCAAGTCTCTGGTGACAGCTTCAGCCAAGCAGCACTAAATCCTCAGGCTCAAAAACCTTCTGCCTACAACACAACAGTTGTAAATACAGGCAGTCATTGGCAGTTTGGCTGGGCATTTGCAGTGCCTTATTCATGAAAAATGAATGAGAAACACATACAGATGAAGTGTGTTGAAACCAGTTGAGTCGCAAAGTTCCAAGCTATGGGCATCAAACATACTCATCTCCCCAGAAAAATCCCTCACACAATTCTGGTGACTCCACCACAGTATGAACGGGGCGCAAAAAATCGTGTAATATGCTCGAATTAAAGATGGGGAGTGGGGTGATCTTATGATCTGACGAAGACAAAGGTGGGGCACTTCTGCACAGATTTCTCCTGCAAACCGAAAAGACAGACACAGAGAGGAAGCAAATGAAACAAAGTCCATTACATGCACTCGCTGAAATGGAAGGAGAGGATGACACAGTGTAAGTCTCTGTTGCAAACATCAGAGCTATACTGAAGACCTGTCCTGACACAGCTCCAGGGCCCAATGGCAAAAGATAAAGAGACTTAATTTGCCTCAAGGAAACAGACAGAAAGGAAGTATCTAGGGCATTTAACAAGAGCATTAAAAGCGGCACTGTCCCCGATGACTGGCTTCACCGCTACCTCAGACCCATTCCTAAGCTTGGGAAGGATCATAAAAAGTAAACAGTTATAGAATCATCACCTTTCAGAACACCGTAGGAAAACTCATGGAGAAAATTATGGCCAGAAAGTTGACCCAAAAATCAAAAGAGCCAAGTGGTCTTTTGGCATCTACACTAGGTGGGTACCGCCCGGGCAGTATTTGCTTACAACACATATGAGGGCTTCAAAGCAGGAATGGAAACTGCCGCAGTCACCACTGACTTAGAAGACGTGAACAACAGCGTTCCATACAAGCTCATCAGATTAATGATAGATATGCACACAGAGATGAAACGGGTCAACTGGATCACAGCAGCGCTCTTTGAAAGAACAGTGTCGATGAGATGCAATATGTGGGAATCGAAACCTCAACACGTCTTAATGGGCTTGCCCCAAGGATCTCCACTGTCTCCCATTCTCTTAAATGTGTACACATCATTAGTTATCAGTGCACAGATAGTAGGTCTGGGAAGAACAACGCTGTTCGCAGTCGATATCCTTGTGTACCGACGAGGAAACAACAGGGATGAAATTACAACAACGCTACAGCATGAATTAGATCAAATCAGTGAGTGGTGCCAGGAATCAATCGCACAGGTAAACCCGGCAAAGACTTCCTTAACATGGTTCTCGTTGAATACCCCCATTGCCAATATACCTACGCCAGTTGTGAGCAATGTGTGATATAGAGATCGATAGAACGAACTCAATGAGATACCTTGTCGACAGATGCTTGTCATACAAGAATCATGTAGACAATGTCATAATATGCAAGTATGTAACCTAGATGAGATCAGTGACGAAAAAGAATCAACGGATACACCAGCAGACATGCATGACTTGTCTTAGGTTGTCAGGTTGTCCCCACTGGGGAGGAACTGCAGGAGTCAAATAAAGGCCACTGTAGATGCAGAAATTAAGGCATTGAGTGATCAGCTTTCATGCACTGAAGATATCGTCATTTATACAGATGCGTCCGTGAAGTGCGGATCAAAATCGTCATGGCCTTACACAGCACAAAGGATGAGAAAAACAATAAAAGAGGATAGCGGCTCTTACCAGACAACTACGTCAAGCATGACCATGGAGATTACTGCTGCTTTCAAAACACTTGCATGGGAAGCAGAACAAGAGGCCATACATCCGGTAATCTTTTCAGACTCTATAAACATGCTTCAGAAAATCGCTACAGCAAGTCTATGCTTTGAAAGGGTTAAAAGCATTCAAAAGTAGCAGTTAACCTTCATCATCTAGATTTATACACTTGGGCACGGAGGAGTAAATGGTAATGAAAGAGCTGACTAGCTGGCAAATAATGCACTAATGCAAAGGGGATGAAGCATGGACAGAGTTGATCAACGCTGTACAGACAATGTTGGGGGATAATGGCCAATCTCTGATGCTAACACAACTGAGTGACTGAGGAGTTTAGCTTGGTGAAGCACGTCTATGCCCTCTTCGAGGTAAGGACAGGAGATACTATAACCAACTTCTCATGGAAACAATCAGTAGAGGTAGCTTGGAGTGGCTGCTGCATAGGAGGACTGAGCACGCATGTGCCCAATGTGCAAAGACGTCGGTGATAACATAACATCAAACATACTCGCTCTCCCTCTTTCTAGTGCCAGTATAGGTTGGCGGTTATGTCAGTGCAGTGAATGTTGCAGTTATCAAAATCATTTTCAAATCTCCATTAGGGGAGTCAAATTCCACAATTTTAGCATTGTTATCCCCCCCCCCCCACCACCTTCCAGGGTTTTATCCCAGCCTTGAAGCCCAAAGTTGCTGTTGCCAGGGTTTTCCTCACTTTAAAACTCACTATGAGCCAGGCCAACACACTCAATCCAGCTAAATGCGTAGATTGAAAACCAGATATTGACCATTTTTGATAAATGTAGTGTTAGATATACATACCAACACTGTTTTTCAATTAAAAAACCAAATAAATACATACACAAGGTCATGTAATGCTTTCATTGTCTGGGGAGGACCCTTTGCAAAACGTGAGCTGCCCTTCCTTTCAGCATGGACATTATACTCCAGAATTTTATCACAAACATGTGGATCATTAATGACTTCAATAAGCCGCAGTTCTCTGATGCATGCAAAAGATGATTTGTTAGAATATACAATAAACACTGCTATATAGTAATAATACAAATACATACACGAGGCCATGTAATGTCTCCATTGTCTGGCTCCTTCCCTTTGCAAAACGCAAACTGCCCTTCCTCTCAGCATGGACATTATACTCAATAATTTTATCACAAACATGTGGATCATTAATGACTTCAATAAGCCGCAGTTCTCTGATGTACAAATAAGATAATTTATTAGAATATACCAAAAGCATTGCTATTTTTTTCTTAAAAAGAAACAAATTTGACCTTACACCTAAGCAAAATCAACATATAAATAGCTGATATGATAAAGTAGTAATGAAACATGGTTATTCTATACTGATCTCAGTACACTACTGTCAAGCATGTCAATGATCAGTTTATTAAGAGTCCAACATTACTGTTAAATATGATTATTTACTCTAGTATTATTGATCTAATGATTACATATAAGTTTGAGAACAGCTAATTTCTCATGTAACTTAAACAGTTTTCACGTCTGCTAGAATCGTTTACTTAGAAACTGCAATCAATCCATTTTTTATATATGAAGAATGTTGAATGTTGAATTAAGAATCGACATCACAGCACTCAGAACACTCTTATAAGTGCTCAGTCCCCATCTTCAGCAGCAAGCGAAGAGTTCCAATTCCGATGGTACTAGTAATCCTCTGATTGTAAATACGTCTCATCCTTCCCCTGAGTGTTGAGCGTCAGCCAGATTCCCTGGTAACTCCACGCAGCACCATATGATATGAAGAACAAATACTGCAGTGAAAGAAGAAATGAGATTCACATCTGAGCTGCAATTTTGTGGTTATCCAGGGAACCCCTGAGAAACAGCTTGTTGTTCACATGAACAAACATTTCACATTACTAAATTGCATAAAGCAATTATAAATTAAGAGACAGCAAAATGAAACTCAAGCAATGGAGAACTCAAAATGAAATAGCAATGTACATAAAATCTTACGATTTCCTATATTCCTTTCTTTTCTTCTTTTGATCAAGTCCATAGCCAGTCTCCAAGACTTCGTGAGTCTTGCCAGTCTCATCAAGTCTTCCTTTCACTTCAGTTGTAAGGTACTTGCATACTGTGATACGTACATCATAACAGTGTATGAGTATATTTAAAATGAAGGCTTTAGGAGAGGATATCAAACAGCAAGAAACAAATATGAAACTAGCATATTTCAGTATGTTAGGAATCATGGTTTTATTAGACAATTTTATATTCAGCAGTTTGCCATTATGAAGATGTTTCGTGAATGAAATTATCTGAGAAGGCTAACTCAGGCAACAAATGCCTGCAGAATTCGGATGTGTTGGCCAAAAGGTGCAAATATTGAAGCCATGTTGCAAATGGGCACAAAGCATTTACGTCTTTGGATGAATATAGAAGAAAAAGAAAGAAAGTGACTTATGAAGAAAACTGATTACCCGCATCAGAGGGAGACAATCTACATTTTTTGGTCAAGTCATGAGAAAAAGAAAACTGGGGAACACTGTCTCAGTTGGAAAGTTAATAGGGAAAATAGGGAAAAGAAGGAGAGGGAAACAAACAGAAGATGCTGGAGGTCTAATTTTAGGGGAACAAAAAAAAAAAAAAAAACTGACCTACTGACCCTTTCCAGTATTCTCTAACAAGCAAGTCATAAATGGGACTAACCAGGGGTGTTTCCTTGGAAGTCACAGTCCATCTTTATGAGATGCAAGGAATCAAAAGTCTGCATATAAATAAGCCAGATGGGTAAAACAGATGTGCACGCAAAATTCAAGTTCTGGAACAAGATCACAGTCTAGAAGTTGATGAACAACCAGAGTTTAGAGCTGATGAAAAGCTAAAAGATGAAGAAGTGAACTCTTCCAGTATCAGTCTGCGATTAATTTAATAATCACAAGTGCTGTGAGGGTCATCACCTATTTTCCTCCTCCGAGTTACTACCTGATGATTTCACCACCCTGAGACAACAAGAATCTCATCCAGGATGGAAAACCAATAGAACAAATCTTTGATACCCCATTCAAACTCTAAGGAAGTTATTTTATATTATTTTACTTGTGATGGCCACACCAGATGTCACCTGCAGTTTTCTGCGGGTAAGGTCAAATTTAAAAATCAACTTATCTAGGCATAGGTAAAACTGCAATTTACACTAAAACTGGCAGACCTTATTCTGTGACTGCTTTTTTGAATCTACTGTAATAAGTGTAGGACTGCAAGGAAACAAACACTGAAACAGCATTTGTAAGTAAGTAAAAGTAAAGTAAAGGACCCTTTACCGCGCCGTCAGGCATATTGGGCTAGACCTATATTTTATAGACCAGTCAGCACCCAGAGGGTGATGTGATCAATTCCAGGACTATACCAGGTACCCACTCAATGCTGGGTCAACCTGGGAACCAAGGTCATTTTTGAAATTTCAAAAAAAAAAAAAAAAAAAAAAAAAAAAAAAAGTTGGGCTCCGTCTGGACCACACCCACAACCTTCCAATCTGCAGGCGAGCATCTAGCTGCTACACCACGGTGACTCCCAAACAGTATCTGCAGTAAACTTTATATAATGATGGATCTAAGTGAAGGGTATCTTTGTTACTATTTACTGCAGTCTCAAACAGACCCATATTGATTTACATTCAAAGATGCATAAAAAAGAAGCAGAAATAGGACACACTAGACACCTTTCTAAACTCTTTCAGTCATTTTCATCACGGAGAAGATCTTTACAGAATGTCGCTCTCATCACAGTCAGCTCAAAGGAAACTTGGTCTCTCACCAGATCTCCTGCCTCAGTCACTTTCCTACCAAAGGTGTCAATTATATCCTGTGCCCAACTTCCTGCTGGTCAGCTCTTTCCTGGCAACATGCTTTCTGCTACTATTATCTGGTGGTGCTTGTGGCCAAAATAATTTCAGTTTCCAAGACAAGATACTGTTTACTAGCCAATCTTTCAAGGCCAGCCTATAATTGCTGTTAACTTCCTAATTCTCAAGTTCTTGTTTAAAGTAGCCAATGTCCGAGTCCAGAAAATGAGATGTCTGAGAAGGGCTGTAGGAGTGACCATAAGAGATAAGATCAGGAATGAGATCATAAGAGAACAAGTCGGCACAGAATCAATTCTGGATTACATACAAAGACAACAAGTGAAATGGTTTGCCCACTTAGAGAGAATACCTTGTGACACCATACCATACAAAGCATACATGGAAAGAGAAGGAGGTAGAACACGGGGTAGACCAACAACAAGATGGAAGGATAACATCAGAGAAACTCTACAACAGCACGATGTGCCTATGGTCGAGGCAGCCAGAAGAGCTAGAAACAGAACCTTATATCTCTCTCGACACCCACAGTAGTAAAAGAGGAAGTGAAGAAGAAGAAGAAGAAGAATGTCCGAGTCCAGAGAAGTCAAAATAATAACACTCTGAGCAGAACGGGATAAACTGTTATTTAGGATTAATAAGTTAATGTAACATTTATTCATGATAGAAGAGTTAGAAATTTGAACTGTTTTTGGACTAACTAAAAAAGCATATAGTGAGCTGCATTACACCATTATAGTTTATCTGCAACTATCCTCTAGGAGGAACTGCAGTGACATAGTGGCTAGGTGCTTGTCTATCAGTTGAAGGTCTTGTGTTCAAACCCACTTCAAGGCACATTTTTGCCTTAAAAAATGACCTTGGCTCCTAGGGTGACTCAGCCTAGAATGGATACCAGACATACTGTACTGCAAAGTGAAGGTGACCATCAATCATACTGACCATATCACCGACAGAGTCTGGTGCAAGAAGAATCCTGGGTTCATATCACGAAAATCAGCCCACCTCATCAGACATAACATTTCATGCCAGCTCCTATTCATGCTGTGGTGGTTCCTACAGGCTTTCCTATTTTGCAGGGGCATTAGGATATGCGTTCCTTCACTGCTAGCTATACACATCGTGGGGGAAAAGCTGCACCTGTTCGTTCGTGGCCCGACATGAAAGTGTGGAGCTCCTGGAGTGCTAATCGATACATTTCAATGTCTTTTCTTTATAACGAACGCTGTTTCAAATACCTCTATATTTCCCTGGTGATTCATTCTAAATACTGAATTACAAGCCAATATTTAAATGTTTTTTTTTTTTAAACTTATCTCCCAGAGTGGGTTCCATGTCTCTGCAATGGGGGATATTTTCACCCAGATTAGGATGGTTGGGGGAAAGCCCAAAGCTGACCTAAAACACCGAGATAGTCCAGATACTCGGATTAAACGAGAATCTTGAGATAGGTGATGACCGCTAGTTATCACGGGTACTACGGGAATGCGACTAAAGGTCGCCACGTGAAAAGTAAAGGACCACCACGTGTTGTCACGTGAAAATTAACCCGTGGTATAAGTCAGACTTGACTCTGGTCAAGTTTAGTTTGTGTCGACCTGTTGGAGTGAGAGGACGTATGACTGAAAGTAAGAATGCCAACGTGAGAGTGCTTGTGGAGAAAGGAGACCCTGCTGACGAAGTGTGAAGCCGAGATCGACCATGCGAGTGTGTGAGATGGCCAGAACCTCAACGTGAATCCATGGGAGCCGACTTTGGTCAGTGAGAGCTTGAAGAAGACTGCTCGCTGAAGGCTGCGTGAGTTTGTGTGCGAAAGCTGTTTACTAGGACAACGACAGGACCTCTTTGATGTAAGTGCGAATACGTCAATAAACTCATGTCTCGTAAGCTCTCGTAGGTGTCGGCTTGTGCCAGTTGTGTAACGTGGAGCGTGTGAGAAGAACACCCACCACACACGCATGAACACTACCTAGACAACGAGAAGAAACACACACCACTTATTACAGTCTCCATGTGGAAAAAGGGGGGGGGGCGATTCCGGGATAGAACCACTGCCTCAACATAAAAACAGTTAGTTGTGTGAGGAATAGCCCCAGTTTGATGGGTATCTCTGACTTTTTGTGTGATTTCACGACACAATTTTACGTTCAGTTATAATCACCATTGCAAGCTAAACGGTCCGCCCGTTTGATACCACAGTAGTTAGTGCTGCCAAATCGCGCGCAGCTGGGATCGAACCCAGCATTAGGGAATTACAAAGCGAACAGCGTTCGCAACGCCTATGCACAACGTCACGGCCGCCATTGTAAAGGGCAAAGCTGAAGAAGAAGAAGAAGAAGAGTAAGAAGAAGAGTAAGAAGTAATTAACCTTCACATAATGATGGGTCTCTGTGAGGATTCTCATGGTCATCGTCCGCATAACATCCGACCAGCAGCAGTAGCAGCGTCCCCAACGACAGCACAATCACACGACAATATCTCTGCTTCCACATAATCAAACCACGAAATAGACGCCACGAAGAGAACACACTGACAGCCAATGATCTGTAATTAAAGATGCTTTCTTATCATAACCACTTGTTGTGATTCCCACTTTATATCCCAGAAATAAATCGTCAACTGGGAAGAAACATGTGCAAATACGTGGGGCTTTCCGCTCACCATGTTTTGCTTTGTTGTGACTTCTTCATTGGTTGGAATACAATGGCTTTATTAAATGTAATTTAAGCTTTACTTTGTTAAATTTAATTTAATAAATTATTATCATGCTTTTGAAAAGTGTTGACATGTTTTATATAATTTATATTATGTTTCTGCTGTGAAAAAAAAATTATTTTTTTAAAATGAGAATTATTTATGAAGTCAGGGGCGTGAATGTGGTGAATCAGTTCCGGTGTGAGGCTTGCTTCCTTGTTCATCTAGAGAGAGGCAGTTGGAGATTCGTGTAGACTGACCAGAGTCCGCGAATTTCTTTAACTAAACTGTGAGGGCATGTGTATAATTAAATGTTTAGAGTTTTCAGTACCTTACATTCATTCATTCATTCAGTAGCATGTCCCTCGCGGAACCTCGCTGCCATAACAACCCTCCGGAAAACCTTCCTATCATGAGCAAGATGTCCTGCGTCTGATACACCCATCTGGAGATCATCTGCCACATCCTGCACCCATCTTCTCCTTGGCCTTCCTCTTCCTCTCTTCCCAGGCATATACCCCTCCATTATTGTTCTCTCTAGACCTCCATGACGTTTCAAGTGACCAAAATATTTCAATTTTCTTTGTTTTATTGTCTTTACTAGCCAACCCTCTTCAATATTCAGCTCTTGAAGTATGGATGCATTTGTTCTTTTCTTTACCCAAGATATTCTTAGAACCTGTCTGTAACATTTATATTCAAATGCATTTATGCGCTGTTCCGCTTGTTTAGTAAGTGTCCAGGTCTCACAGGCGTATGTTGCAATGGGAAAGATGCATGCTCTTAAAAATCTGACCTTTGTAATTCTATCTGTACAATTCCATAATTTATTCAGTTGTTTTAGTCTTTGAAGAGCAATTGATAGTCGCCGTTTAATTTCTTTCATTGTGTCACCATTGTTGGTAACCAGTGACCCAAGATATTCGAAATTTTCCACCACTTCCAATCTTTCCTCATTAACATATATTTCCTTCTCCATGGCAGTTTTGTTTGTATGCATTATCTTTGTTTTTGCTGTGTTAAGAAATAAGTTATGATTTTCACTATTTCTTTGGAGTGAGGTTAATAAGTTTTCTAAAACCATTTTGTGATGTTGATAGTAATACTGTATCATCAGCATAACGAATTTCTGGTATTTCATGACCACCGATGTTTAGGGCATCATATTGTTCCTTGTTTATATCATCTCTTACATTTCTCATTATATTTTCGGCGTACAGGTTGAACAAATACGGTGACAGCACACATCCCTGACGGACTCCTTGCTTGATGCCAAACCAGTCTGATGTCTCTCCATCTATTCTGACTGCTGCTTGTTGGTCTTGATAGAGCATTTTAATGAGCTGCACTATATGTGATGGAAAGCCCATATTCCTCATGATTTCCCAAAGCTTCTGATGTTGTACACAGTCAAATGCTTTTGAATAATCCACAAAACATAAGAACAGATTTACATTAAATTCTCTACACTTCTCTATTATTAAACGCATGTTGAATATATGATCTCTTGTTCCTCTTCCCTGTCTAAATCCAGCCTGAGCTACATTAATCTCTTCTTCCATTTTCTTTTGCAGTCTTCTCATTATAATTTTTAGTAGAATTTTACTTGCATGACTGATCAGGGCAATAGTTCGATAGTTTGTACATAATTTCAGGTCACCTTTTTTGGTATTGGAATGAAGATAGTTCTCTTCCAGTCTTTTGGCCAAATACCATATTTCCATATCTTTTCACATAATGCATGATAGATTTTTATGCTTTCTTCTCCTCCCGCTTTAATCAATTCAGCTGGTATCTCATCACATCCAGGTGATTTACCATTTTTCAGGCTCCTTATTGCCCATGAAATTTCATCTAATGAAGGTTCAGGTTCTGCCTCTACTGTTACTGGTTCATGTATATCATTCATATCCTCACTGTCATTCATATCATACATTCCGCTGCAGTATTCCTGCCATCTTCCTAGAATTTGTCTAGATTCTGTTAAAGTATTTCCCAACCTGTCACAAATAACATTTAACTGAGGTTGAAAATTTCTTGTCAATAACTTCATTTCCTTGAACATTTCGTAATCTCTTCCATTTTTGTGATGCTGCTCTATTTTAATACAGCAATCTTGTACATACTGATTTTTATCCTTTCTTGTGTACTTTCTTATTTCTCGTGTAAAAAATTTATACTTCATCCTACTATCATTGGTTTCTCCTTTCTTTTTCAGTTCTCTTCGTTGTTTTATTAGTTCTAACGTGTATGGTGTGATCCATGGTTTATGTTGCTTAGTCCTGGTGGGTATTAAGTCTTTAGCTGCTGTTATCAAGATATCCCTAGCTTGTACCGCCAGTTCATCAGGTGTCATTTCCTCTTGTACAGACATCAAGACCTCAAAACGGTTCTTCACTTCTACGTTGTATGCATCTGGTATTTTTGTGAGATCAAATCGAAATGGCCTTGGTCCTCGGGTAAGCTTTTTGAGTTTTAATTTTAGATCTGCTTCTAGTAACTGATGATCTGTATCGCAATCTGCACTTCGCAGGGTTTTTGCAGATGTTATGCTCGATCTCCATCTTCTTTGTATTAAAATGTAATCTATCTGATTTTTGGTAACACCGTCAGGGGATGTCCATGTGAAAAGCCTTCTAGGGTGTTGTTTATAAAGTGTGTTAGCTATTGTTAATTCATTTTCTATGCAAAATTCAATCAATTTTTCTCCTGTTTCATTTCTATTACCCAATCCAAATTTTCCTAAAACGTGTCTCTCATTTTCATCTCTGCCTGTACCTACTTTAGCATTAAAATCTCCCATTATTATTATTATATCATTCTGATTAATTTTATTTAATGTGTCTTGCAGTATGGCATAAAAATCTTCAATTTCGCCCTCCTCTGCTGTTGAAGTTGGTGCATATACCTGCATGAAAGTTATGTTTTTTTTGGACGGCCTTTAAGTCTGATAGTTAGGATTCTATCACTAACTGGATTATATCCCATAATAGCTTTTGCTGTTGTTTTATCTAAACAAAATGCCACTCCGCTCTGGCCTCTTACATCTCTACCAGAATATACGAAAAAGCTTCCATATTCATTGATAAAATGTCCCTTGCCACTCCAACGATGTTCACAAATTCCTAAGATCTGAATATTTAATCTTTCAATCTCATCACATACTACTTTAAGCTTTCCTTCATACAGACTTCTCACATTCCACGTTCCTATTCGCATTCTGTTTCTTAGTCTGACACAGTGGATTTCCTTGGTAACACAGTCAGGATTAACTCCGTCATCACGATTACTAGTACCGACCCCTGTATCACACTCTTCCCCAGTGTTATCTGATCTGCCTGGCCTGGGGGTCTCGCCACCAGATCTCTTCTGTGTTATGTTTTCTTTCATGATTGTTATGGGTTCTTGGCAAAATTTGCAGAAGGTAGTTTGCCATTGCTTTCCTCCTGAGCAGTGACTATACTAGTCGGTGGCCATAGCCATTGTCTCTACTGATGAGATCATCTGCCTATCGCCGCAGAGTGCAGACCATAACCAACAATACCTGTCGGCTGCTCTTACACTCCATCCACCACCTGCTTCCATGGCTTCACGTAACCCTGATTGGGGGGCTAAACGGGTACTCCACCTTGCCCAAGGGTGTCCCGTAGACTAGCGGAGGAAAGGAGGCGTCTTACTTCTCCTTTGATAGGGGATACCCCTACCCCGCTAACCGACAGTACCTTACAGCTGTATCTAATTTGTCTTATCGTCATCCGTGATGCTTTTTTGTTTGTTTAACCTCCTAACTACTACCTGCGTAAAGTGTCTGTCGCAGAGACAGAGGAGCTGGATGTAGACTAACTGCTAGTACACTAGTAGTACTTTGTTTTCTGTCTTTTCTAGTTGCGTAGCTTATATTAACCCTTTTAGCACGGGAAGTTTTTCAGAGGTCTAGCCAAAAACACGGAGCATTTTTTCAGTGAATTTGGTTATTAGTGACTTTATTTAATTTTTTTGACAGATTTCTGTTATTCTGACCCCTATGAAATAATATATCGGCTCTCCTAGCAGATTTGGCCGGTAAGTTGGACTGCTTCGGCCGGCTTAGTGGGAGTTACGTCCCTTCGCCAAACTCAAAACGAGTCGCGGAAAAAGTCACGAATCAAATGGCATACTTACCTATCATCATCCGGGTGCGTGTAGGGTGTCTATCACCATCCTACGTTTGCGTCTAGGGCTGCTTATTGCGTGTAGGTTGGTTGTGTGCGTTGTAAGATGAGGGGTAGGGTTAGGGTTAGGCACTGGTATCCATTCTTCACCAGGATGAATGTATCTAAGACTACAGACCTGCTTGATGTCATCCTCTGCCATTCCCAGCCATGATTTGCCCCTTTTTAGTCTATTGCTTTTTTCCTTAAAAAGCATGAATGTGGTGCAAAGGGTGCTTTAGATCGGAGCTTATCTTGAGGTATGTGTGAGCTTGATTCTGTAGCTCATGGATTAGAGAATTCAAGAAGGTATCTCTTTGCTACCCATTGAGGTGTCTCTTGTGCACCTCAGAATAATATGCATTGCTTCATTAGGCAGCCTCTACGGCTACCATTTTTTTCCAGTAGCTTGCCTGTGGTGTTCTGCGTGGTAATGATTCTATAGCCACTGATCTTAAAATGATCTTTATTTGGTTTTGGTAGGGGTATGATCTGACCACTTCTGATGTTGAATTTTGCATTTATGTTTGTCTGGCATTAATAGAACAATTAAAAATTGGTTTGGTTGTTACCATTTTGAATAATTACACATTATGTTGGTAATTAATTTTCATTTCTACTCTAGTTAGTTTAAAGATGAAAAATGCAATGTTTATTATATAATTATATTGCTGGCAAAATAATACCTTAATCATAGATTAGGTCAATTTGTAAAATAAATGTATTTGAAACGTAAGGTGTGTAATTATAGGTTATTAATACAATTTTTAAAAGCCAGTATAAAAATTGAATAATTCTCAGTCACTGAGTCAGCGTGTTCTTTACAGAACGCCGCTCTCTTCTCTGCCCACCTGAAAGTATCTCTTTCTTTGGAGAGGAGTTGGATGTAGTACTAGTTTCCTGTCTTTTGCTAGTTGCAAGCTTGTATTATTAAAGTCATATTGCACTTTTGTGTGAAATAAATATCTTTGAAACATAATCTCAGTGTCCTGATCCACCTTTGAGGATGTCAGCAGTATAATACTACAGTATTTTTTTTTGTAAACACAGCTGCTAGCAGCAATGATCCAGGTATCAAGCAGGTCTACTTTACTACTTTTCATTCTAAGAAGTTGCAGTTTTATATGGCTCTGAAACTTGAAGCAGAAATAAAAGAAAGGATGCCTTATTACAGGTTTTTGAAAACAGTCTTACGACAAATCTTTGGACCCATTAAAGATGCTAACAGCGGGGAATGGAGAATGAAAAGCAACAACGTATCACATAACCTATTTAAAACACCATTGATCACTGGCATAATGAGAGCTAACAGACTAAAATGGTTGGGGCATATTGAAAGCATGTCAGATGACAGAGAAGTAAAAACTGTATACACCTGAGAGAGGAATGGGCGTAGACCACGAGGCAGACAAAAAAAGAAGTTCAAGAGATAATGTTCAGCCAGACCTGCAAACAACTGTTGTCACAAATTGTGAAGAGAAGGCCAGAGAGATTAATGGAGACGAGTGATATCTGCAGCAGTAAACCTCAAGGGCGCAGAATGCTTAAGAAGAAGATGACTATTCTGTGCTACTTTATGTGAAGTAAAAGTTCAGCGTACATTTGACATTATAAATGTGTGTGTGTTTTTTAAAAAAAATATGTTTTATACACTATTCGTATTCAGCCAAATAGTTGGTCCCGCTATTCGTATTCGGTCAAATAGTGAAAATCACTATTCTGTACAGCCCTAATATCAATAGAGCAAAGTGCAACTCCATTTTATGATAACCAAAGGAGACTGATCTCCTTTTATATTTCAAGCAAATTCTAGCCTTTGCAGTTGATATTTAGTTGTTGATATGAGTATTTGTACCTATTAAAAGATATTAAAAGACAGCAAGTGAAATGGTTTGCCCACTTAGAGAGAATGCCTTGTGACACCATACCATACAAAGCATACATGGAAAGAGAAGAAGGACGTAGAGCACGGGGTAGACCAAGAACAAGATGGAAGGATAACATCAGAGAAACTCTACAACAGCACGATGTGCCTATGGTCGAGGCAGCCAGAAGAGCTAGAAACAGAACCTTATATCTCCCTCGACACCCACAGCGGTAAAAGAGGAAGTGAAGAAGAAGAAGAAGAAAAGATATGTATGAATGAAATAATGTATATGACAGGAGTAAGGCCCTCTGAATGGAAACAATTCTAGACAGGCCTGCATGCCCAATTCTGAAAATGGACAAGCGCAAATGGGCCGCCGTTTAGAATACCCCATCAGCCTCATAACTGAATTAAAGGATAACTATACTGACCACAACTTAATGCCATTTCTTCTCTGATGATAGTTCATAACGACAGGTGTCTTGTGGTATCCAGATTTTGTTAAAAGCAATCACAGATCTGAAAATTTACTCGGTTTTTAACCGTTTTGCACCAGGAGCGCTAAAATAATGGGTCATATACCTGTGAATATTCCTTAAACAATTCTTCACCCAAAAAAACAACTTATACAGGTCATAAAACAATATTTTTAAAAGTAATGTATACATAAAAATTTTTTTTTTCTCTCAAAATATATAAAGGGATTATTCAATAAATACAAACAGTGAAGCATTAAATTGAATACATTTTCCTGGTCCTTAAAAACTATGTATCAGGTGACTTAAGCCGTGACCTGTATTGCTGAGACTACAAGGGGAAATTTGAGGTCAGCACAACTTTAAAAAACCCATTTCACAAGTAAATCCCTCTTAATGCTATATTTAGTAAATATATTCACTTCCTGGCCTCCTAAATACGGCGCAGGCAAAAACAGCCATTGGTGTTAGCTAGGTATCTTGTAAATAGGTCACTGTAGAAGTGCCTGGTCAGTGCTGCTTACAGACACTTGCAGCTGCTGGATTTGTGGCTTCTTGAGGTGAAACAGTTTGACTGCTACAGTTTTCTCTTGCTAAGAATAAAAATTTCCAGGCTGGAAGATGTAAAGAACCAGTATTCTGCTTACTCCACCTGTCTTTAATGATTCGTCTTTGCTGTTATTTTCAGATAAATAATGGCAGAAATCCATGACTTTGGCATTGCTCCAGTGACATGTCATTCTTTTAACAAGGACAGAACAGGTTTGAGCTGACTTTTTCATGTAAATTGTTCCATAGATTGTATTTTCATTTAGATTTGTCCACAAGTTGTGTATTCATAACATTAACATTTTTCTTTAAAAAACTGTATATCTACTTGTATCCGCGTGTGTTATTATAGTCTTTATAATTGATTCCAAAAGATTCTTCAGCATTTACAGTTACTTGTGTTTGCATCAGTCATGAGGAAGGGACTTTTTTTTTCAGTTCTGAAAGATATCACTCTGCCTCTTTCTCTTCCATGTTCCTTCCTCTGGTTTTTAATCTTCATTAACTATTAATAACTCTGAGACAACTATTGCATTTTGCTTTCTCCAGGTTTGGCTCTGTCACTGAATGATTCTGATGTGAAAATTTACAAGAAATCTGGCCCTAAATGGCAGGAGACTGACACCTTGAGTGAGCACGGGCAGAGGGTCACCAGCATTGATTGGGCTCCCAACAGTAACAGGATTGTTACGTGTTCGGCTGTAAGGCTATTTTGACTTGCATCCATTTCCTTTTTTGTGTTCTTCTCAATCCCCCACCTTTTTTTCTTTCTTATCCTTTTTCTTTGTCTGCTTCTTCATTTCCTCTTCCTGCATTTTCTTACACTTTTAAACAGTGTGGATTTGTTGTTGTTGTTTTGTTAGAAAAAGTGGACATCTTGTTTACTGTGTCAGTTTAATCTACTTCGTCCCTATGTGGGTTCTGGGGCTACATTGCGGGGGAAAGGGGGGGGGGGGGGAATATAAACACTGTCCCCTTAACAAACATGTTGTAAAAGGCAACAGATTAGGGGAGTTTTTAAAGAGTTGGAATGCATCTGCCCGAGAGGTAAGAAATCAACAGTCTGTACATAATTGAGGCAGATCTGTAAAATGGTTGTGCAGGCAAAACTCAAGTTTTGGAACAGCATCAGAGTTTGGAAGTCAAATAACAGCCAGAATTTTCCCTTTAGAGTTTGCAGCTGGTGAATGCTAAGAAGAAGAAAATATCTTCTTTCTTTTCCCCTTCTCTTCATACTCTTCCGACTTCTTGTTACACATTTAAACATCAGTCTAAATATGAACTTGTTGACATTTCTGTTCTGTTTTTTCCTTTTACTTCCTATTCCTGAATCTACTTCCTTGTTATTCTTTTACTGTTTTTTTTTTTCTACTTATTTTGTCTCCTATTCCTCTTTCTGCTTCTTTTTACACTTTTACATTTCAGTCTGAATATGTTTAAAAATAGTAGTCAACTAGAGCTTGTAGATACTTCTATAGTTTGTTCTCAAATAGAGCAGGTGTAGGCCAGAATAATTTTCTCCGAGTCGCATGTTGCTATTCTTGCAGTAAAGTTTTACCTGTCATTCCAGTTAGGGTCATCAGTGTCTCCCACTATTTTTAGTTTATTGAACAAGTAGGGTTTTCACCCCATTACTTCCTGTCCATTCAGTTTTATGTTTTTAATATTTTACTCCCTCGTGTACCTTCCAGGGCCTTATCTTGGACGAAAAAAGAATAGATCCACTCCCTCCCTATCAAACGTAACATAAAAGGTGACTTATTAAGTAATAATTCTTCAGAGTCAGGGCGCGTCTGCCTGAGAGACTGGGAACCAACAGTCTGCATATAATTAATCGGATTTGCATTTTTGAATGATTTTGGTTCCTAAAAAAAGTATAGTCAGAAGATGTGAACCAGCATCATTGCACACGGCTATAAACCATAAGTGCTCTACCACCAGTAGAGACAGCTGATAAGAACTGTCGCCAACCGCACGGAACTCTGAGCTACAGCGACGTTCCTCTGTAGTCTGGGTTAACCCTGGAAACCGCCCGGTTTTTCTCTGATTACTTTCCATATTGTTTTTGGTCTACCTCATGTTCTACACCCCTGTCCTTTTTTGATGTATGTCTTGTATGGTATAGCATCATCACAAGGCATTCTCTCTAATTAGACTGACCATATAATTTGCCACCTTTGAATGTAAGTAATGGTTTTGTGCATACTTTTCTCTGTTATGACCTAATTCCTGATTTTATCTTTTCTGGTCACTACTGCAGCCCTTCTAAGACATCTTATTTCCAAGGTTTTTTCTTTTCTGGGTTGTTGTCTGTGATCAAGTCTGGCACTGGTGACATATGGTGAGGATGGATGTGCTTTGTATGAGATGTTTCTGTTTGCTGACTGGGACTGTTTTATGCTGTATTATATAGTTAGTAAGTTGAAATTGTTCACTTTTGAACAGGACCGAAATGCATTTGTGTGGATGCTGGAAGGTGGGAAGTGGAAGCAGGTACTTGTGATTCCACGTATTAATCGGGCTGCCACGTTTGTTCGGTGGTCCCCAAAAGGTAAAGTCAGTATTTTTTATTTTATTTTTGCAGTAATTTGCTAATGTTTTTCTCTTGGCCCAGTGAAAATGTGTTTGAATTCTTGTAGAGGTAGGGGTCTAAACAAAATTCACTTGGGTCCCATTGGACCCTGCCTAATGTAGATACTAGGAAAGTTGATGGAATGTTAATATACCCTGCATTATTAAACAAATTGAAGCAGGCACCCGAAAGACAGGAGCTTTGGTGAAAGTTCATTCATTTCTCATATTCTTTAGGGAATAAAAGGTAGACTAACAAAAAAGTTGACCTTTTTTAGGCCACTCAACATCTGGTTATTGACCTGTATATTTTAATGCTAATCAGCTTTCAATAAGCAGTTGGTCAGAAGAATGCAGACAAATTTTACTTCTATGAAAACTTACTGAACCACACTCTTGGTTCAATCTAGCCTAAAATGGGTAAATTAGACACACACCAAATGCCCAGTAACCACAGAGGACCATTGCTTAACTATGTTAGAAGAGCTGCTGGAGTAACAAGAAGAGGTACAATTAAAAATGAAGAACTTTAGCACCCCTGACTTGAATGTTGAATTAAGAATTGACATCATAGCACTTGGGACTCCTCAGTAAGCGCTACGTCCCCATATGCGGCAGCAGGCGGAGAGTTTCAATTTTGATAGTACCAGTAACTGCCTGATTGTACATCCCATTCGCCTTTCCATTAAGGGTTGGCCAGATCCCCTGGGAACTCCTCGCAGCAAGGTAATGATCTATTTGTGCCTCCGCACTGTTCATTTGCTCCCAAAGGACCCCCACAACATTTAGCTTGTCATACATCCGTTCACCACTAAGTGATGCACAACTGGTCAGTCTATCTGTCTGCTCATTTTCCAACACTCCAGCATGACCTGGAGAAAATATCCGAAGGACGATAACTACCCAGGACCTCTGATGCTATGCTTGTCACTCTGCACGGAGCCTGTCTGTCTCCACCTTTCTCAAAATTCTCTGAGTATTATACCCCAGGCAAAACATGACAAAATGAGAACATACCATTTACTGCTTTCATACATTTTGATATATGTCAAGCACACAGGATGTATTGTTTGAGACAGAATTTATAAGCTGAAATGAAACTGAAAATAGTTTTGCTATTCTTGTTAATTTTTTTTAAATTTCTGAATGTTGAATTAAAAATTGACATCACAGCACTCAGGACACCCCAGTAAGCGCTCCGTCCCCATCTTCAGCAGCAAGCAAATGGTTAAAATTCTGATGGTACCAGTAACTAAGTGTCGAGCTTCGGCCAGTGTAACTCCTCACAGTGCCATTCTCCTCAGACCTCGGCACTGTTCACTCATTCCCAAAGGGCCCTCACAACTTCCAGCTTGTCATACATCAGTTCACCACCAAGAGGTGCAGAACTGGCCAGTATGCCTGCCTGCCAACACAATGGTATATCTGGAGAATTTTTTCATTTCTAATGTGTTCTTGTATTTATTTTCCAATTTTCGTTACAGAAAATAAGTTTGCTGTGGGTAGCGGGTCCCGCCTGATTGCCATCTGCTATTATGATGTGGAGAATGATTGGTGGGTTAGTCGTCACATCAAGAAGCCAATTCGTTCAACTGTCACCTGGTAAGAGTCTCAGTGTTAGCACAGCAGAGGCCACATAGAATAAGATAAAAAATTAATCTACCATGATGTTAAAGCATATTGTTTGAGCAGATTTTACATTGTCTCCCGTATCTCCTACTTTTGGCATTACATAGTTTCATTCTGAACGTAAGAAACGTGCACAATCGATCATAAGGTATTCACAATTTGAGATTGTAAAATGTTATCACTTGTCTGACGTAAAAATTTATTACAGTTTCCATTATATTCCTTTATTCTTCTTTTTTCCTCATTCCTTTCATCTTTCAAATGAGCGTAAGTCCACAGTCAGCTCATACCATACTATTTGTAGGCTTGTTCATGATTGGTCATATTTTAATAAGGTAGCCAATCTCACATTAGCCCTTTTTGGTAACCTTTTAGGATATGCTTGCAGTATTACTATTGATTACTTCCTATAACGGCTGTATTAATTTATGGGTGATTTTTCCACCTTTTTTTTATTGCAATTGGAGTCTTCCTCTTTACGTTCACTAGTTACTCTGGTGGAAAGTTCTGGTCATTTTTCTACTTCTGGACTTTAGTCTTATTCTAGAACTTGAGTTTTGCATGCACATCCATTTTTACAGATCTGGCTTATTTAAAGGCAGGCTGTTGATTCCTTGCCTCCCAGGCAGATGCACAGTGACTTTGAACGAAAGACCTCTGATAAGTCGCCTTTTATGACATGCTTGTTAGGAAGGCAGCAGGTCTATTCTCTCCTCTCTCTCCTCCCCACACACACCCCCACTCCACCCATGAGGTTTTGGGACCCACGCTGGGAATTACTGAAGTCATTCAAATGCTCAGCATATTGTTGGTAATCATGCGCAAGTGCACACATTTAATTTGTTGGGAGCCGTGGTGATGTATTAGCTAGATGCTTGCCTGTTGACCTGAAGCTCTTGAATTCGAACCTGCCCTGGGCACATAATGTGGGTAAAACAAAATAACCTTGGCTGTCAGGTGGACCCAGCCTAAAATGGGTACCAGGCAATGTCCTGGGAAGTACAGGCAGTCAGTCTGATGTTAACCATATCAGCCTTAGAGTCCTGCTTAGTCTATAGAATAATCATGTGCCACTGGCATGAAAAGGTTTCTCTGCTTATTTTACATTACTGTTTTTCCCCCCTGCACACATTTTAAAATCTCTTCCTCTCGTAAACCTTTTTGCTGTTTAGATAGATAGAAAGAGCATGGCTGTATGTTTCATTTCACATGTTTGTGTGTAAGAATATCTTTCATTTGATTAATCATTTAGATGACACTGTCATTTTACATTTTCATCCTTGCTTGCAGTCTGGACTGGCATCCAAACAATGTATTACTTGTTGCGGGATCAACTGACTTTAAGTGCAGGTAATAATTATACCAGTGGTATGTACATACTAACTAGCGCTGTTAAAAAGACATTCAAACATAACAGTGTCATCAGATTATAAATAACATAAGCATACCAGATTTCTACTGCCAATGACAAACTTAAGGCACTATCACAACCTCGCATGCATAAAATCAAGACTTGTGAGATTTGATGCCAGATGAAAGTATTCATTTCAACTATTTGAGATCAAGTGGGAAATACTAAGAGCAAAATTTTGGGAATAACATTGTGTGCCAGATACATTGAGAAACAAAAGGCCAAATAGTTTAGGGAGTGCAGCACCACCACTTATCAACACAGGCACTATCTGAAAAGATCTGATATAAGGGCAGTAGGATGTCAAAGGAAAAAAAAAGACGCAGCAACAATATAACAACATTAGACATCTCAACAGCCAGTGCTCGGAAGCTGTATTAGTGATTCCAGATTTGTTGAAGTTGCAACCCTCTTTTGTTAAAATATAAGCAATCGTTTTTATAATAACTAATTAACTTTAAAATCATCATCATTGCTGGTCCCTAGCTCAGGCAAGAAAGGAGTAGGGTTGGGCGTGTAGTGTGGTCAGCTACCCCACCATGTAAAAGTAAATGTGCTACAGAAACTGGTAGAATAAAAAACCGTTGCAGCCGACTGACTACCCAGGTTTTGTATGGTATACACAAAAGATGCTGATAAAAGACAGACTTTAATGAGAGAAGCCAGAGGTGCTCTGCTGGTAAAATCTATGATATTGAAACAACTGCATGAGATAGAATGGAATGGAAGAATACACTATGAGCCTTATACGGCGTAAAATGGCACACAGCGATAAAGATGAGTTCAGTTTAAAAATGAAAGAGGAATGCGCATACATCTTTGTCACCCAAATTCTTCCTTATGTCCTATGTTTGCATTGTTTTTTTTTCAAAATCTTTGTTTTTGTTTACATTAGTATCTTTATTTATTTTACCATCTGCACGTATTATTGCTCCGTTTTATAAGTTTACATTGTTAACTGTGATTATAAATTTATTGTGTCCTCACTTCTGCTTATGGTTGTCATAAATTGACAGAGTATTCTCAGCCTATCAAAAGGAAGTTGATGAAAAACCTGGACCTTGTTCCTGGGGAACCAAAATGCCATTTGGGGCTCTCATGGCTGAATTCAGCAATGGAGGAGGTAAGGTTAAACTTTTTTACAATTTTACTGTCTTCCGAAGTTATAATTGATTATATTCAGCTCACGTCATTCCGATCTTCTGCATTTATCCCCCAGTGGAGCATAGGCCCTCAGCCAGCTCACGTCAAACCTTGACGTTGTTAATGAGAAAACTATTTTGCATCATCTTACATCTGCCTGTTTTCATTATTTAGTGAAACCGGTCATAGAGTTTATTAAGAGCTTGGATGAGCTGGTTTGGGCATCTGATGAGAATGTCCTGGTACCAACTACTCCAGAGAGCCACATTAAATAAATAAAATAAACATAAAGCAGTGGGAAGACTGAGCAAAAGATAAAATGACAGCATCAAGAATAGCCCGAAAGAAAGGAAGATAACCCTAAACATATTACATTAGAATGGGTACAAATAAGATCCTTACATCTCCTAAAATGTTGATGAGGTAATTGGATGAAGTGATGAAGAAGAATGATTAGTATTATAAGACATAGTGAGTTTTTGATGTTTAGATAAACGTTGGAGGTTTGATATACTGAATGTTGCCAAGAGACAGGGCGACTAAAAGAATCACGTAATAATGAGAATCTCTGTGACCAGACAGCAAGGATAGCATGTCAAAAAGGGTGAAGTGAGACAAGAATGCTACACAGTATGCCAACAGAGAACAGTAAACTAACACAGAACTGGTGTAGTAATTTGTCATATGCTGAGAAATATACAGAGAAAAGGATCCAGCACTTAAGAATGATGTTATTTTAGGTAGAGAACAATCGACTAACTAATGAAACAGCCACATGGACTGATTTATCAGGACTGAAGCCCAACAGAATAAAACAACTTGTTAAGAACAGCAGTTACACCATATGTCCATCTTGTCTCATTGGTCAAGAGCTACTAAACCAGACTGCCTCAGGGTTTTCTCTCAGCGATCATTTTGCGTGGATCTCACATTTCCCTTGCAAGTCCATAGTTACCCATACATTTTAAGCATCACTTTTTTCACAAACTCCCAGTGATCATTTTGCGTGGATCTCACATTTCCCTTGCAAGTCCGTAGTTACCCATACATTTTAAGCATCACTTTTTTTCACAAACTCCCAGTGATCATTTTGCGTGGATCTCACATTTCCCTTGCAAGTCCATAGTTACCCATACATTTTAAGCATCACTTTTTTTCACAAACTCCCAGTGATCATTTTGCGTGGATCTCACATTTCCCTTGCAAGTCCGTAGTTACCCATACATTTTAAGCATCACTTTTTTTCACAAACTCCCAGTGATCATTTTGCGTGGATCTCACATTTCCCTTGCAAGTCCATAGTTACCCATACATTTTAAGCATCACTTTTTTTCACAAACTCCCAGTGGCTAAAGCATCCATACTCATCTCGTCAGCCATGTCATGAAAATCACTGTACTTCTGCACCCCCTGACCTCTGGCATACTTAAGTGAGCCAGCACAAAACAGGGTTAAACTAGACATAATTTCTTAGTAAATAAACACAATAGTATGTTTTGTATTGTTGGGAGTCGCAGTTTTTTAGTGCCTAGAAGCTCACCTGTTGGCCTGAAGATATTGGGTGGGAACCTGCATCAAGTCAGATTCTTTTCAAAACTGATTTTGGCTCTCACGTCAACCCATCCTGAAATCAGTACTCGGTAATGTCCTGGGGAGCAAAGGCAGCTGGTGTGATGTTGACCACATAAGCCGTGGAGTTGGTTGATACAAAGAGGAGGCCAGCATCATATGCCTCATGCGCCACTGGCGTAAAGAGGATCCTTTACTGTTACTTTAATATTGACAATGTTGTTTCAGCCATTACTGTGAGTTATAGCAAAACCTCATTACTTCTTGTTCGTTTCCTCAGGTGGCTGGGTTCATTCTGTGTCCTTCTCTCCAAGTGGGGACAGGATTGCTTGGGTCGGCCATGACTCTAGTGTTTCAGTAGTTGATGCTACTAAAGGCAATGAGTAAGTTTCACCTATTTTGTTTCATGAGCTTATTTTTTATCGTTTTATAGTCGTTTCATTTCAGGGGTTCAGCATTCTGACTTGTTAATTATTGATGGTAAATGAAAGGACCTCTTTTGTTTTTAAAATGCTGGTGACACAATGGGCATATGGTGCTGGAGTCATATTTTTTAGGCTAGTCAGCATTTGATGGTTGATGTCAACATCATGCCAGTTGCCTTTACTTTCCAGGGCTTGCCTACCACCCATTTAAGCCTGGGTTGACCTGCAAGCCAAGGTTAGTTTTGAAAAAAACAACAAAAAAAAAACTTCTTTTTCGATGTTGATTGAGATCTAAAACCTTTGGGTCGGCAGGTGGGCCTCTAGTCACTGTGCTGCTGCAGCTCCCATTAGTGATTCCTGTACTAAGTTTAAACCTTTTGTTTAAAAATAAAGGCATCATATCTATCCAGAATAATTTAGTAACCGCAGATCAAATTGAAATGGTATAATAACACATGTGGTTTCTCATGGGCAGCAGCTATGGCACATGATGCATTTTCTGTGACCCCTCTAACATGTCTCCACCTTCTGGTAATAGATGAGCTTGTGAGTTTAAGTGACCTCAAGAACTGTGCTGCTGATGGTAATTACTGGTAGTTACTATGTCAGGTAAAGAAAGAACAACTCTGTGGCCTTGCTGGTTGACCGGGGGCAGTCAAATCAAAGCTGATAAATTTGTTTTTGTTGTTGAGATCATTCATGTTAAGCCATTGGATTGGTGAAATAGTGCAGTGTAACTCATAATGGAGATGTGGTTTTTTTTCTTTTTTCTAATGTTTTGAAAAATGAGGAAAGTATTCTGGAATGATAGAAAAGCAAATGAGGCGTCCTCTTCTAAATGAAATCTTGAAACTGATCAGAGAAATTAGATGTAAATGATCCGTGTTTTTGTTTTATAAAGTGTGTTATAAGAAGGAGTGGACTTGAGAACTTGGCTACCACTGGCAAGATCGGTGGGAAAAGAACTAGGGAAAGGCAAAGCGATAAATGCATGGATGGCTTAACCACATGGATGGGGAAAGGCAGTAACACTGACCTGATCCAGGATTTGGGGGATCATGTAAGTTGCCAGTACCAATATTGGCACAGCACATGATGATGACAGCAGTCATATACTACTTTATACTAATGTCTGTCTGTCTTGTGTTTTAGACTGACTGTTATCAAAGAGAGTTTTCTTCCCTTCATGGGGATTACTTGGATCACAGAGAACAGCCTTGTAGCAGCAGTAAGTATGAATAAGTTTAGATTGTCTGCATAGAATAGAAGCACTAGAATGGTATGAAAGCAAGCTTTTTTTTAAAGAAAAAAAAAATGACATTAGTTCTTACCATAGTCTATAACATTGATACTAATAAAAGTGTGTCAGTACTGAGCACTGATGCTTACCACTAGAAGAAAGCTCTGTGAGATAATCACTGTTACAAAGATTAGAGAGAAAACTAAACTAATTCCAAGAGTTGAGGAAAGGAAACTGAAATTGTATAGGGCCACAAATTGAGAAAACCTGATACTAGCTTTAAATAAAGTGTCCTTCTGCAACCCACTGGACAAAATAAATTGATAACTATACACACATCCATAAGGGAATTAGAGACAGGTAGGTAATATGGAAAGGACTTGGGGAGAGCTGAGGGAGAGATATCAAATGATAGGGCTGTTTGGTGTGAGCCAGTTGAGGTTCTTAGCTACAATAGAGAATACAAGGCAGGAGAAATTTAGATTAACTGTTTCAGTACCAGCCTGTGAATTTCTAGTTTAAAGTTGCCACTGTGAGTCCAATTTTGATTTCTTTAGCGGTAATAAATCCATTGCCTGCTTGCTAGGCCTGTCGCAACTTCACCAGAGCCGCGTTGGCCAGGACGTTTTGGGGTGACCCAGGGTGGCCTTCATGGCTACCGTAGCGGTCCCGTGGCACGAGGCCACACCATACTTCGCCCACACCTAGCAATCCCCTACTTTGTCCTGTTACCACCTCTCACGACGAGGACGTGGGGTTGGCCTTTGAGTGAAATGGTTTGCCCACTTAGAATGCCTTGTGACACCATACCATACAAAGCATACATGGAAAGAGAAGGACGTAGAGCACGGGGTAGACCAAGGACAAGATGGAAGGATAACATCAGAGAAACTCTACAACAACACGATGTGCCTATGGTCGAGGCAGCCAGAAGAGCTAGAAACAGAACATTATATCTCCCTCGGCACCCACAGCGGTAAAAGAGGAAGTGAAGAAGAAGAAGAAGAACTGTGAGTCCAAAAGCTTTAAAATAATAACACTTTGATACAAAAGAGGCTTAATTAGCGATTTAGTTGGAAAGAATGTCCCACCCGTCTGCTATAAAAGAGTGTCTTTGAACTAACCAGTGAGTTTCTTGGTACAGAAGAGTTGCTTCTTGGTACAAAGGAGTTTAGCTTTTTTTTTTTTTTTTTTTGCTTTTTCCCTATGTGGGTTCCTGGGTCTGATTTTGAGGTGGGGGGGGGGGGGGAATACACCCACTGCTCTCCCCCACCACCCCCATCCCCTTTGTTGTTGTTGTTGTGTAGACGTCATAGAAAGCAGCTAATTAGGGGTTAGCTGAGATCAGATGTGTTGGGCCAAAAGACACAGATGTTGTAACCTAGCTTTAAATCACAACACAGTGTGCCAGCACCTTTGTTACTGGTGAATGCAGAAGTTTGCTGCCTTCCATAGCATTGCAAGATTAATTGACTTATCTGTGGGGTCCTTTTATGACAGAACTGTGTGACATCCAATGCTATATTTTAGTATGTGTTGAGATATTATCACAACAAACTTCCTGACTGTCTGGTATCTTTTTTCTGATAAAAAAGTAAACATATAAGGGTTAGTGGAAAAAAGTTAAAATAATACTGTTAAATGCTTTTTTAAAAATAAAATAAACGTTCTAAAGTGAATGCTGACCTTGCACAATAGAAGCTAATGAAAGAAGCTTGCTAATCTACTGTTCGGTTGTATTTCATTTAATAAAAGAAGTAGAAATGGGAGGACCATAAACAGAAATGTAATATTGAGAAACTGAGATGAGTTTGAGAACCAACATCCAGCACTTGGGACATTAGTTCCCCCATCCACATCTTCAGCAGCCGGCACAGAGTTCTAATTCTGATGGTGCCAGTGGCACTCTGATTGAGAAATGTGTAGTTACTATGTCCCTGCTTTTTTGAGTGCCCATCAGTGCTTGCAAATTCATTAATCATGCCAGCTTGTGTGTGGGGATGTATTGTTAAGAGATTTATTTTTCAGGACTATGACTGCAATCCAGTGTTGTTTACATTGGTTGAAAAATGTGTAGTTACTGTGTCTCCACTTTTTTCCATCTGCTTTTTTAGGTGCCCATCGGTGCTTGCAAATTTATTTATCATGCCTGCGTGTGTGTATTATTGAGAGATTTATTTTTCAGGGCTACGACTGCAATCCAATGCTGTTTACCTATAATGGTGGTAAAATTATCGTGGTGGGCCGGCTTGATTGTGTGGATGTATTATTGAGAGATTTATGTTTCAGGGCTATGACTCCAATCCAATGCTGTTTACCTATAATGGTGGTAAAATTATCGTGGTGGGCCGGCTTGATTGTGTGGATGTATTATTGAGAGATTTATTTTTCAGGGCTACGACTGCAATCCAATGCTGTTTACCTATAATGGTGGTAAAATTATCGTGGTGGGCCGGCTTGATTGTGTGGATGTATTATTGTGAGGTTTATGTTTCAGGGCTACGACTGCAATCCAATGCTGTTTACCTATAATGGTGGTAAAATTATCGTGGTGGGCCGGCTTGATCAATCGCAAGAAAAGGAGGCAGGGACTATAAGGTAGATTGATTGTGTCCTGCGATTGTTCTCTGTTTTGCTATGAGATGTACCCAGGAAGAAATGTCTAAATTAGTGTGAATGAGACACCTGTTTAATCATTGTCTTTATAGTTAGTATAAAGGGAAATTCATTTGATATGCAGATGAAAAATGGATGATCAGTGACATCGTGACCTTTAGTAGGTATAAATCATCATCATCGTGTGTTGTGCCGATAAGCATAGGCTGTCTATTTCACAATTTTGAAACATCACAAATCGGGTCGGTGTTTGTGTCTACTCCCAACCATAAGGCCAAGTCATCCAGGTATTTTTCTCTTTGCTGTGCCCTCTGAAATCATATAAATTGTCAAATTATGACTTTTCTTGGCGCCTTGAAGAATGAAGTTTGCCATTTCTTTCCCTCTCCCAGTGACCATACGGATGACCATAGCCATTGGCACTGTAGTGTGATCTTTCACCTAAAGTGGGGGAACTAAAGACCAAGACCAACAGCTGTGGCTGCTCTCAGGCTCAGCATACAACGGACACACAAATCCGACTTCACCCCAGCACAGCGGTTCTCAACCTTTTTTGAGTTGCTACTACATTTTATCGAGGCAAAGTGACCTGCAACTTAAGAATTAAAAACCGGGTCAATAAAAACACAGACACACAAAAATAGATGTTTTTGCATTCGGCAGTGAGATCTCTTTGTGGGACATGATGTTTTTTGTTTTTCTCTTCAAAAAAATTTTGTGGCTCACCACTGCCGACACAAATTTGGGAACTCGTGTCCTGGCAGGTGAAAGGACATCACTTAATGAGGGAGAACAACATCAGAAGGGCAGACAAGAAGATAGTCATCATTATGTATCATGCATACAAATACAAATGAGCTTGCCAACTCATCTGATTGCCAGTCATCTTAAATTGAGTAAAGTCCAAGCGTACTCTGAATCGGTGGCTTCCTTTTGGATTCTGGTGGTCTTTCTCTGCTATATTTGACTGGATGATTGAGCTTTAATTCTGTTAGACTTGTCTTAAGACATATCCCTAGCAAAGCAGGAAGACAACTTATGGTGCCTTTCACTTGCTGATAGTAATATTATGGGTTATATTATAGAGCTAACTGAAGAAATGTGCTTCAGTTATGCTGGTATCGTTTGTCAGATGTCTGTAGTAACTAACTACTTTCAGTTATTGTCAATATAGGCAACTTATAAATGCCAAACTATCAGTTAATCAAGTGTGTCTCCCTAATTGAAGTTGGCTGCAATGATCTCCACTTTCTGTCTTTCGCTCGAGGTAGTTTTTGTTTCCAGAAAAGCATTTAAAAAAAAAAAGTATATTGTACAGATTTGTTCCGTACCAAATGCAAAATTGTAAGTTGTAAGCTTTTAACAGGTCGCCAGGTGTTGGCAAGGATGGAAATCCAGATGAAGATGGACAAGAGGATGTGATTTATTTAATTTCCAGGTTTGAGGGCATGACTTTGGAATGAATCAAAGTGTCATGAAGTCATGTTTGATCTTTGTTGAATTGCGTCTTAAATGATCAGCAACCGTGATTTTACATTGATATCATTTGGAGTTGTTTTAGTGAATATCTGAGACATGAAGTAACAGCACAGATGTACACAGCATGACTTTGGTGCTAAAAAGTACCAAGCATTTGTGATCAGATTTTTACTAATATTAGTTAGTCAACAGATTACCCTCATTGCACATCAAAATATTCAGTCCTTAAGTTCTCAGTAAATCTTTTTTCAGTATTTTTCTTTGGCTTCCTGCAGAGTGCTCTTATGTGACCACAACCTTTTAATTTGCTGTTCATGCAGTCTGGTCATGGTTGCAGATTCAGAGTCACTTGGTTCTCACAAACATCTTACTTCTTGTAGAGCATTCAGTATATCAGCCTGGTTGTCCATGGCTCATCTGCCCTTCACAGTAGTCTTAACTGCAAACCTATCACCTTGCTCATTTCCTTGCACACTTGCATGCCCTGGCACAAAAATGAAACTAATCTTTATCATCCCCAATTACCTAATAGACACCAGCACCTCTTTATGTTCCTGAGCATACTCATTGAATCACTGAGAAAGCATGCACGGGTGAAAGTTTGTGTCTGTGCTAACATTGCCTGGGTTGAATAAAAATCTGTGTCTGTGCTAACATTGCCTAGGTTGAAAACTGAATTAATATGTATATAAGTCCATGAAATATGTTCTAGCTTGTTAGGTGTTGTAATTATTTGTAAACAATATAGTTGGCTTTAGTTATTATATTCTGTCACTGGTTCTTTGGAGGTGAGTTTTACATTTTGGGTAACTTTAGCTTTAGGTGTTTGTTTCTATTGTGTCTAATTTAGAAAAAAATATCCCAGATGCAAAAGTGAGTTGTAGAACTGTATTCACATTAAAAAGGATACAGAAAACCCTTAAAAGACATTGAAGGATGCTGCTTGATCACACAGCAAAAAAGATCAGTCAGTGTTCATTGTCAAAATTAATGTAAAAAAAGATTACAGAAAGAATAGATGCTGGATAGCTTTGCGTAAGGGTTTTTGAAAAATCAACTTATTTGTGGATAAATAGTACTTACTGGGGAACAAGAGTTGCATATCCAGGCGATCTGTATCATTTTAGGGAAAGGATGGGTGAACTTTTAATCAGGCTGTCCCAGTCAGCATGAGAACTCTTCATGAGAATGTCCCATTATGCAGTAATGTCAGTTCTTGACTCTGTCTTTCTCCCAACCTTTTCTTCTTTAGCAAAATGTTTACTGTTTTAACTTATGCATGTGTGGATTACTGAAATGAATATTGTTTGTGGCTAACACTATTTTCATCCGAGACTCAATTACATGCGCGTGCAATGTTGACATTTTTAGTAACAGCATTAAAGTAACACAGCATGACCGTCTTTAGTCTATGAATGTGCATATTAATAAATAAATGATTTGTCTCATTTAATCTTCTAGATTATATGTTGCATAAACCATAGAGTCCTATATGTGGAGTCAGATCAAAAAATTAATAACCTTGGCTCCACAATTGACCCAGCCTAAAATTGGTACTAAGTAATGCCAAGGGAAGTAAAGGCAGCCAGCACGATGTTGACTATGTTTTCCATCGAGTGCTGATTGGTCTGTATAAATATGTAGTCTTTCATAGACTGATCAGTTTACCTCTTTCAGTCCTAGGCAGGCATTAATTGAACTTATAGAATCCTAAACATTTGTTACTTAATGTAAGAATGTCTCTGTGTTTAGGGATAATAAGATAATAACCCTACAAGGAGAAAATGGGTTAAGCAAACATTGGGGTAGCATGGGCTATTTTGCCAGCTGTATGATGAATACAGAGGTGAGAAAAGAATATATATTGTTTAAAGAGCAGTACATGCACAATGTGTTAGCCAGTACTGAAGGAGTTAAAAGAAGGTATAGGCTATGGCTTTATATCAAGGCTAGAGCATTGTCTATAAACCTTCTACCATGACACCCCCATATGCCTACGGTCGGAGTATTTATAGAAGATTTCAGATATAATGTGATTATTTTTAGTTCAACTCACAGGACAGTAACATAAAATGAGTGGATTCTGTCCATGATATCGAATGGATTTCACAGGATAGGCAATGGACGGGTTGACTGTGAGCTTTGTGTAATATATAATGACACAATGGAGTTAAGTTTGTTACATATCCTTCACGGGATGTCATAGACAAACTCCAGCATTTTTTATTATTGTGGTTTTACTAGGTAATTTAATTTTTAGTAAATTGTCTGTTGTTTTCTGACTAGTTCTTCCAATACCATTGTTGAAATCAGTGCAGAGTGGCCTGCTGCCAAATTGCCTTCAGCTGAATTAAAACCAGTGTGTCCGAATTATAAAAATATGTTCATAAACCATAACCTCAAACACTGGCTCATTTTGAGTAAGGAGTGGCAAATTTTTGCACAGTGCATTTCAGCTTGATCACGACTTACAAATAGGTTGTTTTAATTTACATCATTTAGTATGCTTATCGTATCTGTAGGTGTGAGAAGCAACACTGTTGTGTCTTGTTTCTTTTCAGTAAATTGTAAAATGAGCTTTTTGTTTACAGTGCCATGAATCGGTTCAAAAATTTGGACAAGAGAGCTACAGCTTCTGACACAGTCACAGAGCTGAAGACTCAGCATCAAAATACAATTACGTGAGTTTTAGCTATCTTCATTTGTCTGTGTTTACTACTAATTTTTGGGGAGTCGTGAACACAACACTGCAATACTTGCCTGTATTGTACTCGCTGCTGGTAATAAGACTATAATAATTCCAGCAATTATCAATGATGTTTCACATGTTTATAGGGCGACAGCTTAGAGGCTACATGCTATCCCATGGTCTTGGGTTCAAATCTGCATTTGAAGCGGGGTTTTCCCTTCCAAAATTGACATTGTCTCCCAGCTCGGCCCAGGCTACAGTATGGGTACACAGGCAGTGTCCCAGGCTACAGTATGGGTACACAGGCAGTGTCCCAGGCTACAGTATGGGTACACAGGCAGTGTCCCAGGCTACAGTATGGGTACACAGGCAGTGTCCCAGGCTACAGTATGGGTACACAGGCAGTGTCCCAGGAAATAAAACTGGCCAATGTGATGTTAACAACATCACCCACCAAGTGCTGAGCATCATATGCCAGTTTTGCCGCTGGCATAAGAAGGGTCCTTTACTTGCTTTACTTGACCTGTTTATAACAAAATCTGGGGCAGATGGACATTTCCATGTGTGTGACCAGAGTCCACTCCCATGAGTTCCAGGGCTCCATTTTGGAGAATAATAGACCCACGGTCCAACCCACCCCACCCAACAAGTATGTTGAAGGAGGCAGCTAATTAGGGGTGTTTCCTTCAAAGTCCGAGTGCATCTGCCCATGAGGGAAGGAACCAACAGTCGGCATGCAAATAAGCCAGATCTGCAAAACGAATATGGATGCATACCTCAAGTTCTGGATCAAGACCTAAGTCCAGAAGTGGACAAACAACCAGAACTTTCCACCAGAGTTTACTATTGGTTAACGCTAAGAAGAAGAAGCAGAGCCCTGGTCTATAAGGGATGTGGACAAAAGTTTTCCTGTAACTTACTCTGCATTCTGTAAGAGATGCTGTACAAAGTGTTGACATTAGACTGCTAGTTTATGCGGTAAAAAAAAAGTAAAGGTACCTTTTCCACGCCTTTGGGCATATAGGGCTAGACCTATAATTTTCTAGTCCAATCGGCACAAGATGGGTGATATGGTCAGCATCACGTCGGCCGCCTTTACTTCCTGACAGTCAAGGTCATTTTTGAAAAAAAGTCCAGCTCTGCCAGGGAGCGAATCACAACTTTCCGATCCGCGCACGAGCGTCTAGCCGCTACGTTATGCCGTAACATGTAGCTGCAAAATTCAACCAATCACAATTCTACCTTGTTCAGGGTATAGCATTGTGTTAACCAAAACACCCACCGAATGCTGATTGGTCGCACAGATATGAGTCTAGCATCTTGTGATTTAGTCACACACAAAAGTTGGAAATAAAAATATCATGAATGAAGCCAGGGTACAGAAAACATTGAAGGATACTTACTTTAGTCTGTTCTGATTTCTATAAAGCTTCAACCATAATGACACAAATTTTTCCAGTTGTCAGTGATCAGTCTGCAGTAGTATAAATCTAACATCATATGCCCTAATGCATCAGTGGAGTAAAAATGTCCCTTGGGGCCGGGTATTATTGGTTGGGGGATTATATTCCTTTGGGAGAAAGAAGACAGGAGAAGAGGAGTTTAAAATAGTATAGATTTTTTTCTACACGTGCTATCAGGCCACCTCAGTAAAGATTTTAATGGCGTACACACAAACAATTTATAGTATATACTATGTACACACAAACAATTTATAGTATATACTATGTACACACAAACAATGTATAGTATATACTATGTACACACAAACAATGTATAGTATATACTATGTACACACAAACAATGTATAGTATATACTATGTACACACAAACAATTTATAGTATATACTATGTACACACAAACAATGTATAGTATATACTATGTACACACAAACAATGTATAGTATATACTATGTACACACAAACAATTTATAGTATATACTATGTACACACAAACAATTTATAGTATATACTATGTACACACACATATGTAAATAAGGTTTCGATTTTTCATATTATTGTTTCAAAGTTATATATATTTCAAATCACTGTATGGTAACTTTAGCTTTCTTATTCTTGTGATTGCATCTTTTTACCGACAGATGAGTTCTTATGATAAAATTGAGCATTTTTCAAGTTCCTCTTTAGTTCGTTACAGCTCTATCATAACATACAATTTGTACATTATCTAGTATTTCTTCTCCTTTTCATTTATCTCATTTAATTTAAAGTTTGGTTTTGTTTTAGACATGTATCATGGTCTAGAACAATAATTCCCAGTTGGTGGTCTGCTCAGAAAATGTAAGGGGTCGGTGTGATCATTTTATGGTCCGCTCAATAAACATAAAGGGTCCATGTTATCATTTTATGGCCTGCTCAATAAATGTAAGGGTTCCATGTTATCATTTTGTGCTTCGCTTAATAAACATATGGAGTCAGTGTAATCATTTTATGGCCTGCTCAATAAATGTAAGGAGGGGGGGGGGGGGGGCAATGTTATAATTTAAAAAAAAAAGGCTTTTGCAGGTCTAATATAGATTTACTTTTTTTATTTTTTTATATGGCTTAAGAGGAGCAGGGTCTGGGGCAGACCTTTGATAATAAGAGGGGTCCGCAGGCCTGGTCTACTTGAGAACCATAAGCCTAGAATATGTGAAGGCCTAACACTGCATGTCCCAGTGGCATTAATGCCTGTTGAGCTATCTTTTGTAGGTTTGGCTGTTTAAATCATCATCATTAAATGTCTTGCCTGCTGGTGTGGGCAGTTGTGTGTCTCCCCAGTGTGGCAAATGTGGCAGTCTCTAATAGCAAGTATTGCTTCATGCACTGACACCCTGTTCCGTGCTATGACCAGAAGCTGTCAACTGTCTTGCAGTGTCCTCCTCTATGTTACTTTCCACAAATATTTTCGTTTACCATATCCAGTTTCTTTGTTAATTTAGACACATTCTCTTCCCCCCCCCCCCACCCCCTCCCCCAATGATGACTTTGAATACTACATTGATTTTGATAACAAGTTACATATAACATTCTCGTGATAATTCTGATTACAGTCAGGTGTCGATCCACACTGGTACGAAGGAGAATGCCAGCAAGATTGCTACTTCTGGGGTGGATGGTAACCTCATCATTTGGGACCTCAAGGTGAGACTGTTGTATTGAGCTCTATCTCAGGGAAATGTTTGATGATAGAAACCATTTTCAACTTTCCAGGGAAATTATGGCAGTAGGATGGCAAATAAAAAAGTTGTAGAATTTATTTAAAGTATAAAAGGGCATTTTTCAGGCAACTAATTTCAAACATTAACTGCCGGATTCTTCTTCTCTCTATTCCTGGAATATTTCGTGGCGTCAGGACAAGAAGAGATCGCTGGAACGGGCCCTTCTGTTTATTTCTTATAAAGTACTTCTCGGTGTCTCATATTTCTGCGGCCATATTCTGTGTGGTCGACCTCTGGGTCTGCTACCACTTTATCTGTATAACATTGCTCTCTGTGGTGCCCTGTTGATGGCAGTCTTGTAACATGGCCAAATCATTTGATATCTTGTCTACTTTAAAGTTCAGTATTGGTTGTGTGCCGACTCTTCTCCAGATATCCGGTAGTCTTGTTCCAGAACCTGTGTGTTGCGTGCACATCCATTTCTTAGATTTGGCTAATTTGTATGCAGACTCTTGGTTGGTTCTTTGCCTTTCAGGCAGATGTGACCTCCAAGGATGCCCCCAATTAGTCAACTCCTACAGCATGCTTGTTGGGGAAGCCATGGGTCTCTTCTTGTTTTCACCCACAATGGGGCCCCCGAACCCACAGGGGGAACTAAATTTTTCATATTAGAAACCTGATTACGTTCTCTGCTCTTAAATTTATTTCACGACACCAGGAGTGTGCCAGCAGATTTAAGGGTTCTCTTATATTGTTGGCACAAAAAGACCCTCAACCTTAGAATGAAATCCATTTTGTGAATCGAATAATTTATAAGTTACAAGTTCTTCAGTATGACTGTTGAAAAATGTGGCGTCCTTGCCAGACTTTTGAAAAACAAGAGGTCTTCCTATGTGTGGGCTAATTGGGAAATGCTGCTACAGTGCTGCATTATTAAGAAATAGTGCCGATACATATGCTGAATGTTTTTTAAAATGTATCTTCAGTTTTGTCACCTAAACATGTACAATATTTTTGTTTTTATTTGTCTTGTAGCTTGAAGTTTTTATGATGTTGTTTGACATTTTGAAATTATTCATTTTTTTCAGTCTCTGGAGAAAAGTATCCAAGGTCTACGCATTTCCTAATGCATTCATCCTACCGGATTGTGGCATCTCTCTTGTAATCAGTTTTTTTTTAAAAATTCCCTAAAGCTAAATTAGAACTCAGGGAGAGCCACTGAACTTTAGTTGTTTGAGTTTGATTAGCATTGTATGCATGACATTTTAATTGTTCTATTTATCCTTTATTTTAATTACATTTTTATTAACAACACCAGATTAAATTTGTATGATAATGATTCCATATGTTGATTAAGCAGTAATATTTTCCTGCAAAGTTATCTCTCTGTTGCATATTTATTTTAAAACTTTATAAACTTATATATTATTGCTGTAGCTTTCTCACGTTTATAATGTAACATATTCTGTTTATGTTATGGTTTCTTATCTTACTTGTTGTTGAACTTCTTCAGTCCCGGGCAGGCATAACCTTGTTCTTTTCTTGGTTTAAAAAGTAAAATGGGATTAATTTAAGAAAGGAGAGACATGTTTGGACCATCAAATGGTATCAGTAGTTATGAGACAAGGAAGATAGTGATGTATTGGGCACATCCTGAAGAGAAGTGATCTGACAATCACAAAAACAAGCACTGAGATGGGAAACAAATGGATGGAAGAAACAAGGACATCTAAGAGAAACCCTGTGTCAGACATTGTTGAGTGAGGTCAAAGGTGCTGGACTAGGTTCCCTCCATAATTTTGAAAATATTGCACAGGATTGAACAGAATGGGTAAATTGACGGTGAGATCTCTATGACATGTGCAGAGTCACAGTAGCTTAGCAGCTATACACACGCCTGTCGACGCAGTCTTGGGTTCGAATCCACACTGAGTCCAATTTTTAAAAATGACTGTGGCTCCCAGGTCGATGCAGCCTGAAATGGGTACAAGTTAAAGATCTGGCCAGTAAAGATGCATGATGTTGGCCACATCCCGAGTATCGAGTGGTCTATATTAAAAAAAAAAACAGTCTAGTGTCATATGCCAAACCCTCATTTTGGGGAGACAATTACCACCAACACCGCAACAAGCACATTGACCACTAACACCGCAACAAGCACATTGTGTTTCTATCGGAGTGTATCTAATCTTTCTTAGAGGTCAGAAACCAACAGTCTGCATACAAATAAGCTAGGTCTGTAAAATGGATGTGCACTCAAAACTCAGGTTATGGAACAAGCCAATGCCCAGTAGTAGATGAACAACCATAACTTTGAACTTGAGTTTACACTAAGAAAAAGTACAAGATTTTCTTTACTTATTACAACTATGTGTTGTATAACAGAGTGAATTACTAATAGATGCATGGCAAGTTTCTTGGTACTGAATGTGTTAATTAAAACAAAACACCCCTCTATGTTTTTATTGTTACATGTTTTTGTATTACAGTCACTCAGAACCTGCCTGTTTTGATTAAACTGTTCACAATGCTAAACTGACATTTTTATTTCCTTGTTTAACGCTGCTTTTATTGCGTTGTTTATTTGCGGCATTATAATCTTCAAAATCATGTTCTGCCATTTATACATAATTATATGGTCGTAGGTTAAGTATCGGGGGTGGAATCTAGATCAGCATCTTTGTCTTTTCTCATCGTTCTTCGCAAGTTTTTACTTGGAATCTTAATTTCTTGACCCTTTTGCCCCAGTTATACTAAACAAAATGGGTAAATAACCCGTTGGCATTACATTTAAAAATCATAGAATAAAAATGTCATGCAGGTCACTTAATAAAAAATTCATTTTTTGGCTGTTGTGATTTTTCTAGGCAAATTTACATTCAGTTGTTTGTCATTGCTTACTGCGAGGTCGACTCTCTGTACCACTGTTGATACCAAAGCAAGACAGTCTGCTGCCAAATTGCTCATAGCTGGGATTGAACCCAGCACCCTGGAATTACGAAGTGCTTTCGCAATGCCTAAGCCACTGACGCCAGCCTGTGAATTATACTGTTTTGAGTTACGGCCATCCGCACGAAGACCACCCCAAAAAAAAAAAATAGTAAACAAAGATTTTTAGGATCAAAAAGTTCATAGAACTGATGCTTAGAGTGGAGCAGGGTCTAGACATCAGAGTCTGTCTGACCAGCATATGACAGACTGTCTGGAACCACAGGCCTTCCACTACCTGCCGCCAGTGTTGCTGAAAAGTAGGCCCGCCCACAGATAACTCTCTTTCACACGAGGAAAAAAAAAACTTTCTTTTTCTTCACGTTCACCAGCTGTAAACTCTGGTGGGAAGTTCTGGTTGTTCAACCACTTCTGGACTACAGTCCTGTTCAACCTGAGTGTTGCATGTGCATCCTTTTTACAGCTGATACATATACTCTCTCTCTCTCTCTCTCTCTCTCTCTCTCTCTCTCTCTATATATATATATATATATATATATATATATATATATATATATATATATATATATATATATATATATATATATATATATATATATATATACCGAACAGTGATTTTTACTATTCGGCCGATTACGAATAGCGGGACCAACTATTCAGCTTAATACGAATAGTGTATCATCATCATCAGGTGCCTTACCGACTGATGTGGGCGATTATGCCTCGCCACAATCTGCTATCTCCTGCAGCATGGCATGCAACGAGACTGTCAAGAATCTTATCTTGTTGTCTTTCTCTATCCCTCCTTCCACACATCTCTCAGTATGATACATTTTGATTGTGAAACAAGGGAAAAAACTCTTTTCGACAGTGACGAGTAAAGACAATTTAAATTTTAACTTTTAAGTATCTTCATGCCTTCTTGAATAATGTCACAACTTATAGTCGACTTTTCTTGATTTTCTCCTCGGCACCCCTGGCATACGCACCCAGTTTAAGAAACTCTGCTGTAATGCCTCAGTCGAGTCAGCAGGCAAAGACCTTGCCAGCTACTGTATCACGCAACCGGGTCGCAGTTTCCCCCGCTACGACAGACTTAGGCAACAGCAACTATTGTGTTATGAGAATTATTTCAGTCCATCGCAGTGTATGCAGAAACTGATTCAAGGTAACCATTATTCTTATTCGGCTGAATACTGAATAGTTATTAAGTCTACTATTCGGCCCCAAAGCGAATATTTGGTACAGCCCTAATATATAAATATATGTGTGTGCAGTCGACAAGAAAGTGAATAGGTCAGAGCGCTGCCCAGCAAAACAGCTCTGCATTGAAAGTTTCACCGAGGGTGCCAGGAATGGATGGCTGGTGAAACATGCCTCGATGCAAGAGCTGATCCAAGTTAATTCGCTTGCGCTCGAGTATTGTCACACAGATGAGTCTGTAGTGAGAGGTAGATAGAGTAGGTGAGGTGTCATTGCAAAGGTGCGAGACCTGTGCAGTGCTAATTCAATCTCAGGTGTTGTCATTATGTACACAGATGGATCAGAGGTAAAGAGGTCAGATGCAAAATGGGAAAATTCCATGAATGAGATTGGAGGTGATAAAACACTGAGAAAATTATGGATGCTGCAAAGACACATGGAAAGAAAAGATGACAGTAGGTTCACAGATCTTGATTAGGAGAGTATAGATGGATATCTTACTAGTCGATTTGTTTGCAGTGCTTGGTAAGTCTTAAGTCAGGAACAAAAAATGGATTTTTTGCCTAGGACATTATGGGGTAATGAGCAGGCTGCTACTGCTCCTCTGCCCAGTGAGCTATGATGATACAGCGGACATGAAAAAAAAAAGTGTCATTAAATAAGCTCATATATTTCTCTTGGTTTTAGAGAGGTGGTTTTACACAAGAAAGCGTTAAATGTATTGGACAGCCAAGAGTTATCCAGATGTTCTGAAAAAGGCAAAGGCCCGAAGACAACGTCCTACAAACCTTTAGAAGAAGACAGTCATAAATTTTTGGGGTCCACGTTAAGAGAAAGAAACCTAATCGCGACATGACCTCTGGTATGATTTCTGGAAAGAGAGATAAAGGAAGGTAAATCTTCTTTTACCTCTTGTTTCACAAATCCTTCCTGTAATGAGGCTATATATATGTATAACTTAAGGGTCGACTGACTGACATAATTGGGGAAGTCCCTGAAGTGAGAATAATGTGGAAATATTAAAAACACTGGATGGTTGAAGTCACTTATGAACACGAGGTCCGAAAAGGGGGGGGGGGGAAGAGTTGCTGACTGTGAGGGATTCTGTGACAGGACCCCGTAGAGCTCGTTGTGAAAGTTGATCCTAAGTGAAACGAAGTGGTTGTAGTAAAGCCACGTTGAAATGTATCTGAGGACAATGGAAGTGTCCTACTGAGGGTTGATTGTGCAGGTTCATGTCGTGGCTGTATACCCAAAGGTGTGAGCAAGTGAACTTGGCCTGGATGGTGTAAGTGAGGTTGTTATGTTGATGTTTGTCGCTGATATGACATTGAATAAACCTGGAACTGGCGATAACTACCGTCGACTATCATTTGGAGAAGTGTGTCAGTTTTGTGGAAGATAAGTCTGCCTCGTCTACTCTGTGGATCTAAACCCCAAGATCGATTGTGTGCGAGCAAAAATAAGTACGAGAGAGACCCAGTACTAAATGAGTAAAGACTTCCAGTACAACATCTTTACAAAAGGAATACAGATACTCCTTAACACTTCCAGAGGTCATGTCACGGTTTGAAGTTTGAACAACGGATCAACTTCATGGCACACGGGTAGTAACCCATAAGTGTTCCGTTCTTCTTATAACTTAGGTCTGAGTCCGAAGAAGCTCAGCACAGTGCACAGGCTCTATAGCACCGACGAGGATCCTGGAATACTTTGGGTAGATTTATAACTCCAAATTTTGCCAACAGCGCCGTTAGGTTACTCTTTTCGATTTCCAACTGCCAAGGGATGTTTTTTTTACGTGCGCAACAATGCGCCCGATCTTATACCCAGAAACCAGGGGGAATTACTAGAAGTCCAAGTCCACATGAAAAAATCCCAGCCCTTACCGGGGATTGAACCCGGAACCTCTAGCATTTAAGGCGGACACTATGCCTCACCACGCAGCCATGGTTGTTTCCCTGCTTCATGTGGC